TGTGTGCGTGTGTGCGTATGCGTGTGTGTGTGTGTTCAGATGGAAGAGGTATTTTTCAAGAGACAGAGAGGGCGGATGGAATTCACCCGCAGGCGTGGAGTGTGTTTGCGTGCGTGGAGCGTGTTTGTGCGAGCGCGCGCGCGTCATGGCCAGACAGCCAACAGAGGCAGTCAATCAGTCGGTCCTCACGCGCGGTCACAGGCAGCCTCTGCCTCACAGAAATAAGGAAACAGTCTGAGCTGACAGGTCTGTCTACTGAGCTATCTACCTGCTTTTTATTTTGGCTTTTTCTTGTGCATTTTTTTCCTAATATTTCCAAAATTACCACATCAATAATCAGAAATATCATAACTAAAGTTTTCTGGATATTCAGAAAGCCATCCAAGTTTGTTTTTTTCAACTAAATCTCTTCTCGTATCTCTTCATTTAGTTATTTGAATCCTCTGGTTAAACCATGTTATTTGGTCAGTATTTTTTAGTTTTTTTTTTTTATATAATCTCCAGAATTATCACAATTTGATAGACATTGAATGTTATATTTAAACTAACAGGCAATTCCAAAAGTATTAGCAGAAACCCTGGCAAACATCTGCATGGTTTGCAGTGTGGTCTTTAAAAACTGGACAATTTGCTTCCTTTAAAAAAAAAAAAAAAGGTTAATAGTTCAAATCTCAGCAGGGGGTCCTGGTTCAACCCCGCCTCTTGCTCCCTGGCCCCTTGAGACACTCAATTGGATTAAAAAGAATGTCAAATGACTTAGGAACTGGACTGAAAATCAGTGGAAAGAAGGGGAGGGATCCTCCCCAGAGCAAGCAAAGAAATGTATGAGACATTAGCCTCATACTGCATGTCTTAATGAACAAGTTTGTTGCATAATTAACAACAACACTTCCTCTAACAAGTGGGGGACTGATTTTGAAAGCAAAGGGATGTTTTTTGCAAGTAACTGTGGACTCATCCGGTGATTTTCATAATAGAGTCAGATTGTTTTCAACATAGTTGCATATGAGGGCCATAAGATCAACGACATGCAATGTCCAGTTTCTTCAGGATATCCATTAAATAGTCATAATTAGACACCACAAACAGGAAGTGTGTACACACAATAGATGATAACAAATGTTCAGATGTTTTCTGATGGAGCTGTACCCATCTTTACCTCCATAAAGGCATCCGGTAATAACAAGAATTCAAATTCCACCTCAACGCCAGAACTTTGTCTCCAGTGTTGGCCAGATACGCCACCTGCTGGCTGAACGGGCACATCGCATTATGACGCCATCAAATTCAGATGCCATTCAGTGGTGCATTCATGTACTCCTCGGGGATCAGAGAAACTGATCTGTTTGTTGTAAAAAATCATTTATATAAATGATTCCATAAAGAGGAATAGCACTTAAAACATGTTAAAAAAAAACACATTTTAAAAAAAGAATAAAGAAAGCTGTTTTTACACTGACTCAGTTTGATCTTCCAGAACAAAAACTATGAGCTGATTTTGAGTCACAAGTAGACCCTCTTATGCTTTTTAACAACTGGGTGGCGCTGTTGCATTTACTTGGAATTGTGGATTGCTGTCAGATTACAGTATGATGCTCATTTTAAGTCTATAAAAGACAGGATCTCCCGGAATTATGCTGGACATTAACCGCAGCCGCTGAAGTGTAGTGACTTAAAAGACTTTTGTGAGACTTCGTTGTTTCATCATCGGAGTGGGAATTCTATAGATGCAGAGAAAGCAAATAAAAATGCAGACTAATCATTTAAAAAAATCTAATTTCGGTAACCTTTCTTTGGGGGGCTCACCCTAACTCAACATAAAGGTATGGTTTATTTGGGGCTTGTGTTTTGCACATGTTATTATAACATGTTAAATTGTATTAAAACGTTCAGTTCTACAGCCTAAATCATTTTCTTCAACCATATTAACTAGTTATACTTGAAAATCTCCTCCTGAATCAGTGGCAGACTCACATGTAATGAGTGAGGATAGTTACGAACATACTTCAATGTCTATTTTTATATTTTACGATGAACAGTTGCAGCTGCAGGCAAACAAGAGTTTGGGGCCACAGATGCCAGGCCATCAGACAATTTCAAGCCTGTGACTTAACCCCAGTAATAATGGAGTGCACTCTCGCTGGACAGAAACCACATCACATCCAGATAAACACACACTGTCCACACACACTGAATAATAGCTCACAGGAAAGTTTTATATTAAATAATACTTTTTAATATAAAATACGAAAGCATTTATTCAGCATCAAATTGAACACATCGCATGACACTGATTGACACAAACTGCACAGTGAACTTTAAATAAAACTGAGGTGAGAGCAAACAGACAGAGAATTTTAAAAAAAAACATACAGTGTAGACAAGCTGGAGGGAGATTGATTGTCTGGGCAGAGCACATCCAAAGTTCACTGCAAGAGTCTCTAAAGGAACAGCTAGATTGATTTTAAAAGGTGACACATAACTATAGAAAGTAAGAGTGATTTGCTCAGTGGCAGGTTTCAGTCTGCAAAGGTCCCGCTCTGTGGTGGTCCGTAGATTCGAGTCCAACAAGATTCCACAATTTGGCATTTGTCTAATTAGGTCGTTGGGGCGTGCTGGGTGTTCGACTGTGGTGGTATTTAGGAATAATCTATGTAATGTCTCGAATATACATACTTTTGTTTGCAAACCCGGACCCTCACAGGCCTTTAAAAGTCCACCTCCTCGACCAAAGGTTTCACACATCCAAGTCAGAGTCACTGTCCGTTACAGATAGGAAAGTTTCCCCATCAGCGCGCTCTGCGCTGCCGTCTAGACTGCAGTCTCCTCTGCCCAATGCACGGGAAGCATCTGGACATGTGCGGTGGTGCTGCAACCTGCAAATGAGGAGACAATACCTTTTAAGTGAGTGGACGGAAATCTGAACTTGAAAACTTAAGAAATAAAGAAAAAAATTGTTTATCTGCGGTGCAATTAAAGTTAACAAAAAGCAAAAAACACACACAGATCTAAAGAGAAACTCTACAACAAGATGTCCTTTTGTGTTATTTTGGACATTTTCAGTTGTTTATGCATGCTTGGAATTCACGGCAGGACTGACCAGCACAGTGACCCTGAAGCAAATTATAGAGAAAGGGGAAGAAGGATTGACCAGGTCAACCTCACAGAAAGAAAACAAAAACCTATATGCTGAATGGCATGTGCGCTTTTTACGCATGAATGACCCTTAACGCGTAACTCTGGCTGCCTGTGGAGAGGTGTTTAATGATGAGGTATGTGTAAGCACTTAAGAGGATCCCTGAAGTGTTGCAGTGATTTAACAGCAAAAATGTTCCACGATGCATTAGGCATTTAACAAAATGCAAAGTGCAAAGTTTCATAAAGCAGATTGTTTCAAATCAAAGCTACAGACCTGTTTTTCGCTGCCGCAGCACGATCCCTCTGTCTCCGGTTTTTGAACCAGTTCCCTACTTGCGTCGGTGTCAGTCCGGTGGCATGTGCCAGCTCGCGCTTTTTCCCCGGGTTGGGGTATGGGTCTTGCAGATACCACTCTCTCAGCAGCCCCCGCGTGCGCTCCTTGAAGCAGTGCGTCTTCTGCTCCCCGTCCCAGATGGTCCTCGGTAACGGGAACTTCTTCCTGACGCGATACTTGTCCACGGGTCCGAGGGGTCTCCCTCGGAGCTTCTCTGCCTCCCGGTAGTGAGCCTCGAGCCACATCGCCTGAAGTTTACCGTGCGAGGCGCGCGTAAAGCGATGCGTTTCCAGGATGCGATAAAGCTCGCGAAAACTTCCCGTGTGATAGGCCACGACGGCGCGAGCTCGCTGCACGGATTCGTGCTCGGAGATGGAATCACGGCCGTCCGAGGTCACCGGGAGTGACCAGAGGAAGCGGGCTAACCTCTCGATGTCCCCGGTCTCCTCCAGCGTCTCGCACACGCTGGCGATCTGCGCGGCAGAGAAGCAAAGTCCCGGGAGAGCCAGGGGAGGGCAGGCGGTGGGAGGGTCCTCCGGTGATCGGGAACGAGATAGAACAGAGGAGGCATCCGCAAAGTGCGGCAGAAGGAGGTGAGAGGCTGAGAAAAAGTCGAGCGGCGACCTGAAAACCATCTGGATGGCAAAGTGGAGCCAAAAGATAAGATGAAAAGCGGTTTCTCGAACTGACTGACAGAAATGTGCTGGTGCCCGACTCTTTAGCTCACCTGGGAGTCAGGGAGGGATCCTGGACTTGATTCCTCATTGGACACCCTTAGCTGATGGGAGGTTGTCATGACAGCGCTGTCAATCAATCTCAGAGGATTTATCTCACTCCTTACGCACAGGCTGGACACATGGAGTATCTTTGGCACTGCCCTTCCAATGTGAATCCGGCTTTGTTCTGTTATTTGATATTTTACAGATTTTGCCAATGGGCAAAGCTGATCATGAAAGTCTTTTAAAATAAGTGAACATTGACCATCATGCATCTCCAATACTCCCGGTATAAATGCTGTTAGTTGGACTTCTTATGGCCGAGCTAAAGACAGTCCAAATTTTATGCCAGGTTCTTAAGGTGCTGGAACTCCTCTGAAATTTATGTGATACAGTGCTGTGCAAAAGAGGTGATTCACCTCCCACACATTTATGTCCTGTTTCAACTTGGCCAAACTTTCTTCTGATCTTTAACAGTAGTCTTGTCTGGACATCAACTCATTGTCAAGTCACTCCCTGTACCTGACCTTTTTCAGGGAGTGTGTATTAACACTGATCTATTAATCATCCAAGAATGAAAAATGACCTAATATAAAACAGTGTGCAAAGAATTATCCTGGAACCTAGAATCTATTTCAATCTGTTTCTAATCTCTTCGCATTTTTTCAATTCAACCAAATATAACTTTTTCAGTAAATAGGTGATTCCCAAAAAGCTACCAGCCAAAAATGTGATATATCTCAGCAGTGTGCAGTGTTACCTTCAAGAATTTCAAGAAACCTGACAAGTAAAGGATGAGTTGGCCTTAAAAATAACCTGTTGTGGATGAAAAGTATCTAAATGTGATGTCCTGAAGAAATAGGCAATATTAAAAACAATCACCAAAGAAGTGATATATGAAACTGAGAATGGAATAAAAAAAAACAAGAGCTTTGGAATGTCCTTCAAGATGCCTCTTTTCAGGTAGACCACTTAAAAAAATCAACAAGAACTTTTCACTGGGAGGGCCCAGACTGAACGGACGAGTGATGGCCACACCAACAATGACCACTTAATGTCCTTTAAACAATATTACTAACTGACTATGTTTTTCCCTTATGCAAAAACTTTCATTCAAATGCCAATTCATAAATGCACCAATTTCCCATTTTCTAGTCAAAATATGAAATGATTAGAGGCAGAACATAGTTGTGCAGTAGTGTATCCAGCAGATTAACATTTTATTTAATGACAAAAATAAGTTGTAAGAATACGACTTTTCCCGAAACTGGGAAGGGTAAAAAATAATTAGATCAAATCCAAAGAGTAATTAAAAGAACACAGAACTAAGGAGAACTCTCATCATAGTCATCTATCAGCTACATCTCATAACTTTGCTGGTCCTGACCGTAAGCTACTTGCATCATTAATAGGAGTAATGCTGACTGTACCGGTGTGATCGGAAATCTCATCCAGACCTGAAAGCGTATATTTCTCTAAGTGGTCTCCCATCACTCTAATCACTTTTCTATTCTCTAATATCCATAAGTTTGGAGATACAGGATTAGCATCAGGGCCTTGCGGCCTGCTAACATTAGTATAATGGAGCGAGGTATTCAATCAACATTAACATTTGGCAGCCTGGGCCATACGATTTGGAGTTTGGCACACTTAACACTCCTGTTTGTGTGTGTGTTTGTGTGTGTATACATGTGTTACGTATGTTGTGGGGACACTGCTGTGTTTCTGCAAAAACACTGTGAGGACATGCCTCATTTATCGGGACCTAACCCAACTCCCCGATACTGCAAATACTTGATTGCAGTTTCAGCAAGAAAATATCATGATTCAGTTAACAATAAGTCAATCGACAGATGCCAATGCACAGTTGTTTGAAAAAAAAATTCTCTTATCCACCACTCATCTTATGTTCCCTCACAAACTCCTGCAGTGCTGATGCATTGGGCGTGAAAAAGGGGGTCACTCTAGTTTAAAGGGTTAATGCCAATTACTCCAACAGACAGATGTCCTTGTAGGGGTGATTTGAGGAGTGGTGTGCCAGTTTTTCACCCCCGGATTAATCAGTCAAATGAGCTTTACCATAATAAAATAATCAGAAATTACTTGCATTCAAATAAAGTCAAACAAAATCAAGTACAGTGTAGTTTATGTGTTTAAATCTTAAGCCAAATAGCAAGAATAGTCTCAGTCAACAAGCACAATATATAGACATATTTCAAATGATTTTTTCCCTCTCTTGTCTGGTTCAGCATTATGGCAGCAGAACTGAAATCTGAGTACAGTACTATGTTGAACAAATTTGCTTTGCCAAGGGAGTCTTTGTTGGTGTGAAGCCGCCCTTGATTACCCATAACTGATTTATTTATTCATTTTTGTGACCCAACTTACATGTGTCCAATAATCATTGGGCACCTACATGTTTCCAATAATGCCGAACCTGTCCCTGAGGGACAGGGAAGAAAGAAGAGCAGTGTAAAGGAGAGAGATCCTTCAGACAGAAAGACCAAGAGAAAGACAAAAAATAAAGACAACAATACCATACAACCAGCTGCTTTGTCTGTAAAAAAGAAACTGCTCCTTGTCGGCAATTCAGGTGGGGAACCTATAGGAGCTCCTGCAAAAGGAGACAGGGAAGACAAAAACACAAACAAGAAACAAAGCAACTACACTGGTAGCAGGAACAGAAATGAGCTTCTTCGAATTGGTCAAATTCATTTTTAAGAAAACTTTTGGAAATGCAATGAGCAAAGGAACTATTCTAACGCTAATTTCAAGGAGTTATTTAAACACATAATTCTCCACATAAAGATGTCTGATTGCCAAACTGCTTTCCTGTTTCGTCTGAAACCGAGACACCATCTGGGAACTACTTCGAGACTGTGTGTGGGTTGATAAATATAATGATGAAGATCATATAATAAAAAATAATTTATGCCATGCATTCAATTAACTATTATGTTCCACCAACAGATAACCTTTGTGTAGTTAGGAATGTATGTCTTAAAAAAAAACAAGAAATTGTTCAGTTTAAAGTTCCAGTTCCTTTTAGGGTTCCATCTTTAGGGTTAAGTCATAGTCGAACCCCACACAGCAAGTTACAAAAAAGGCAGAAAACTTCCATTGATAAAATTTGACTTTGAAGTTCTTTCTATACCCCGATCAATGGTTTTCACGTCAACTTATGTCCTCATATTGCTATAATCTAAATGACTACATATCTTTTAAAGTGGATGAAGTGGATGGTGTTAAGTGCAAACCTTAAGGCTTTTCAACCAGTGAGTACTTTTGCACAATTTCTGGGTCATGACTCGTCTTGTGAAATATTTGGAGAAATTGTTGTATTTTTTTACTTCCTTTTCTACTGTGCCTCATGAACATATGGTTAGGCTTAGGAATGAAAAGTTCAAGGTTAATGTTCATGGATAGGTCTGCCTGTTCTAATGTTCAAACGACATGGTTAGTGCTTTCAAATTTGAAATTACTTTCACACAATGTGTTTTGTCATATGATCCTTGCCTAATTGAAAACAAAAGGGACTTACCTCCATCTCCCAATACGCAGCAGATCTGAGGTTTGGACAAGTGGGAAAATATATATATTACGCTTTGTGAGGCTGCACTGATGCAGGCCAGATCAATCAATTATTTTTAACAAGGTTTTTGCCGAAATATTTAGCAGCTCTAAAAACTCAATGTTAGCTCTCTTTGTGTTAGTATTCTTTGCAAACACATTTCCATTTCATGACTCAGTGTACACTTAACCAGATGTCTTTAAGACAAATGCAGCATGTTGCTCCAGGTGTAATGATAGTAAAAGGCAGGAAAAAAAAACATTCACATTCAGAGCTCCTTCAGATTGAAAAGATATTCTTTTCATTAAAGCAGGAAGGACATGCCAAACATTCTTAGGGGAAGATCCTCAAGGTGTGTGTGTGGTGGTGGTTTTTGCAGTGTTTAGAATGAAGTTCCATCACCGTATCTCTATATAGCAGAGGGACAATCATTTGGCTGAAAGTGGGAATAGGGAGCTGGCTAAAAGCGGATGGATGACACTACGAGGATGGCTCGAGGAGCACAGTGAGGAGACAAAGTGAATTACCGTAGCATCTCCTTATCCCTCGTAAACAAAAGGCTAGCTCCTAATTAACCTCGCCAGTGACCTTTAAAACTTAACACTAACCTCTTAAGCCCTGAAACTTTAACCCCCTTACTAGTCTCTTGGAAAAGGCCATACATCTCTCGAACTCCCCCACCAAAGCCTCCTCCTCGTTAAGCCACTAATCACTTCCTGAGTCTTTGTTGTGCTTTTGTGCTCGTACGAGGATGGAGGAGAATCTGGTGGACAATGGTACCCAAACAAAGGAAGGAGGGGGGTAAATTGTAGCAGACTGAGAGGGATGAAAATAAAGATGTAGAGAGAGTGGGAGGACGGTAGTTTTTATGCTAACCTGATGCTAAGCTCTCACTTAACACAGAGTCGTCTTGGAACATCTCTCTTTACTACTCAGTGATGATTAGTCTATAAATAAAAGTTATTGTCAGGCCGCCACCCCATCAGACAAATTGCACAAAAGAAATAAATCTCACTTGAAACAAACAAATGGATGCAGCATTGAATTACGCTGGTTGTGTGTGGTCACCATTTCATCCCGTCTTGACCTATGTCAAAAAAGATAAGGATGACAGGTATTCAAGTAACTGTACCTGAGTGCCTAATCCCACAGCATGATTGGTTTGTAACTCTATACCCCATACAGAGCAAATTCTGCGGTGTTATTGGGGGAGGAGTTAGGTCAGAGAGTGCTAAAACAACCAGAGGGGTAAAAAATACCTAGCCAGGTTTGTGACACACAAACACAAACAGATGTTCTCAAATAATACCAATCCAGATGGGTGGCACGAGCATTAAACCTAAACACCCTAAAGATAGATGAACAAACAAAAAATAATCAGATGATTTGACTAATAATTTGTGTGCTCACTAGGATGCTTTGAGACTGTAAATTAGGACAGCTGGAACAGATGTAAAGGTTTAAAAAAAAAAACATAATTATTCCCTGTTTTGTTAGTGTCATCTCACCACTAAGAGTGTTTTTAATTAATAGTTAGGGTGAGACAAACAAACCATCGTCCTGACTAATAAACACCAGTGGCCAAAAATACAAACAGCTGGAGCCTGAGCAAACAACTGGCTGTCAGGTTTTCCAAGGCACGGTCGTACAGATTTAATAAATGCACACACAGCTAATACATTAACGCCCTCCGGCTGCCCAAGTCCAGCTCAGCGGGTGAAGGAAATGAAATAGGGTGTCATATGAAAGGAAATGAAGAGAGCAAGATTAAAATTCTTCGTGTTTCTTTTTTTTAAATCTGAAAACAATGTCGTCAAGAGCCGTGGTTTTCCAGCTGTCACAGCGGTGGAGATAATGATTCACCTCTTAATTTCTTTTGACACTTTCAGACTTTCAGACAAGGTTTTTGTTAAAAATAAATAAATAAATAAAAACTATAAATGCACATTTGAACAAACTTCTCCGTATACATTTTGAAATGTTGCTAAATTCCATAGAACTATTTTCAAATATCTTTATTTACTCCTTAGTCAGCATATAAACCCCAGCCAGTTTTCATTAAAATATTTTGCCATGTGACGAGTAAAAAAAAAAAGTGTATAATAATTTTGTGCATACATGTCAAAGATATGAGGACGAAGTGAAATTTTTAAGTCATTAAAGTCCACAAAGGTCTTCTGCCATCTAGATGGAATTAGTGGAAAAGGTCTAATTTCTACACTGGTTCTTCTCCTATTTGGGCCCATTACTTTCAGTTGTTGTCCAGTTAGGTTAAAGCACCAGACATGTCTTTAGGTTGTCAAAAGGTGCTGCACACACAAACTTAATGAAACACTCAAATCCATCACCTAAATTTCATCATACAGGAAAAATATAAATGAATGACTTTTGAGCTAGTTTTTTAAAGGGTGTCATATCGCTCCACACTGTGGAGGTCCATTACAGGCAGCCTAGAGTGGATATCCCTCCTAAAATGATGAGTCATTGAAAATCAAACCTGACAGCATTTACCAGAACATATATTTTAAAAAATTGAAATATTTAACTGAATTTAATTCATCTTAATTTAACATTGTAAATAGCCATTTTGGTAATATGCGGTGCATGTTATAAAATACCTTCAGTTAATTGTTTTACCCATTTCATAGAGTAAAAAAAAAACCATTATATTTAATTAAACAGCTTGATGTAACGGAGAGGCTTAAATTGAACTTATAGAAAATAGACAATAAATGATAGTTGAAAATCATTAAGACGTATTGTATCAGGTCAAAAAATATTGACAAAAAAAGTGGGGTGACGCTATTACAGCAACAAAAATACAAAAAAAAGGACAAAGAGGATGAAATGAGACGGTGAAATGAAATAAAGTTGGGGTCATTTTGAGTGAAAACAGTCGGAGGGGAAAAAGGGGAGAATATATGAGCTGAGGGAGGGACAGAGAGGAGTGCTGGGGGGAGGGAGCTGGCTCCTGTCGTGTCTGGTGTGGTTGGGGGTAATCTGGTCTAATCTGCTGGATGTTAACCTATCTGAGCAGCAAGAGCCAGATTATCCCTCTAACAATGGCCAGCCGCTCATCTGCTAAATTACTCCACTCAAAATCATATGCTTAGACACATAAGCATGCACACATCACTCTGGCTCAGACGCAGATTTCAGGGACCTGTCAGTCTATTATATTTATCTGAGTGCTCTGCGCTGAGCTCTTATTCGCACAGTCAAATTCAAATTCAGAGGATAGGTGATTAGTTGGAAAAGAGATGTTTTTGCAGAATCCCTTGCATGCCGTTCCTCTTACACAAGGTTACAAGTACAAAATCCCCTGTGGTGAAAAGAGGAGATGAAGGCGGATAAAAAAAAAATTTAAAAAAGGAGAACATGAGAAAAAATAAAAGTGATGGAGATAAAGAGCGAGGACATGGAAAAGGACCTCTTGCACCTCATTCCCAGCACACAAAGCAATTCAGATTTTTCAATCAGTGTGAGTTGTTCAGCGTGTCAGGGTCAACCGGGTCAGCTGATCTTGAAATGAGTGAGTGCACAAAAAACTAATGCGACTGAATATCTTCAGTAGAAGGCATGAAATAAACAAAACACTTTAGGAACATTATGAATGATTGATCCAAATGTTTGTCAGAAAAATCCGGTTACAAGTAAGTGCAACCTTTACATTGAGTGTCTGGAGCAGCTCAAGGTTCAGAAGTGCTACAAGTAAAAAGTTGTGGATTGAAAGATTTTTCTAAAGGTGCTGTAAAAATAAACAAAGATTAAGAGGTGAACAAGTAGGAAAGGAGGATGTCTCTTGCTAGGACTTCTTAGTAATTTAGTGCTTGCAGATTGGCAAGTGACACAAAGTCTCGTTTATAATCATGATAAATTTATGAGCTTTTGGTTTTTGTTTAAAAAACTAAACCACCAACTATATTGGTGCTGTATGAAGTTAGGAGAGGACTACTTTGGGAATAAGAGATGTTGGCTTCAATCTGTCCGTGCTTTTGAAAACTAAATGCAAACCAGCTGGTGGTGCTAAAGGCAGAAAAAACAAAGACTAAAATATGAGTTGAGACCAGTTCAGAACCAGAACGGCCGAACTTCAGAACACTGCTGCAATTTAAACAAAATATAGTTTTTCTTGTCTTAAAAAAATTAAGTCATGGCAATTTGAACTAACATGACTCAAGAGAAGCCAAAACAATTTCTTGATCTTGTTTATCAAATCTTTTTGCATGGTAGTTTTCCCTTTCATGCACAGATCCGTCAAAGTAAGTACTTTCACTGATCATGGATTTCAGAGATTCCGCTGAGCCCATGCAATGATTTCCCCTGCAGAATTGCGTATTTATTTAACGCGGGGCCCGGTGGGCCTGAGGATCTTTGCCAGTCAATATTATGTTTTTACTTTGTCCCATGTGGACAGAAAATTTCTTCAAATTCTCAGAATATTTTATTGATATTATGCAACACAGATAAGCACTGAATCCCCTTTGCAATCTTTACTTCTGAAAAACTCTTTTTGAAGGCTCATTTCATGTCCATTCATGAAATTGACACATTGATATTATTAACTTGATTAGATGTGAAGTCATATTCTTCTTGGAACGTTCAATGTTCGAATTTCACCTTTTACACTGTCTTTGTGCTATTTTAAACAATGCAAGTGCAGGTCATTGAGTTCTGTTTTTATAACTTTTTTAAATTAAAGAGACACCATGAATGAAGCTGAACACTTGTTTTGTTGTGACAGATTAATCAAGATAAGCAAGATTTTTCTGGGGGGGGGGGCTTGGGGGCTGTTGATAATATAAGTAGGAGAAAGCAGAATTAATTTTCTTTGAGTTGAAAAAGATTACATTTCTTCCCTGCAAGTAATTATATTGTACACAGATTATTTTTTAAGGTGAAAAATATGCCATTCGTGGCTGTTCTTTTTCACGTACTGACTCTAAAGGATGCAACAAAGATCTGCCACATTTCATCTACTGTTGCTTTTGATGGGCATCGTCATTCATAGTGCGATGCTGCTTGTGCTTATAAATTACACGATTGTTCAACCAAAGACCGGTTTATCTGTGTCTCTTTGACTCATCTTGTTTTCTTTTGTCATGTAGTTCTGGAAAAACAAATTAAAATGAAAGAGATTAAATATGAACTAAAAAGGGGTGCCGATGCACAGTTTTAACAGGTCAGTGTCTGTCCATTGTTTTGTAATATCGGGCTTAAAGTGGATTCAATGGGATGCATCAGCGGGCGCACTTTGTACCCCACCCACCATCAGCAAATTAAATTGACCTGTCATAATATATTTGGATCGCTCAGTCATCCTAACACACACGCGCCCTGCAATCACATAATCCCACACCAGATTGAGAACACCTTCAAGATACAATATGATTATGATTAGGGATTATGATCAAATTATGACAGAGTGACAGATTAAGCAGGGGTAATATGTGTTTGTGTGGAGGGGGGCTATGGTGGATTCTAAGCTTGCACTTTTTCAGTAAGAGCAAACACATTTGTGAAGTTCTTTCAGCACAAAGCTGTGTCAGTAAACTTCTCCAGTATCTGTTTCAGTGACATGTGGGAGCTCACCTGTGGGGGCATCGCTGTTCGGTCTGCCACGAGTTCCACCATCTTCATCAAGAATGAAACATTGCAACCGAAGATGAGGCCAATGCGCTTTGAGAAAGAAAAGAAGCTGGCTGCACCTTTTGTGTAGACATGCTTGTTTTTACAGCTGAAGTGAAACTTGGTGTGAACAACGCACGCACCGACTTCAGAAACTGTGCAACGCCTCGCAGTGAAATACGCAGCCACCACCGGGTCCTTGGCAGGTATTTTATTTCATATATAGACGCTTTTCTGTAATCAAATGTGAGTGCAATCAAACAACAGCAATACAAACATTACCAATGCAGTCTGAGAACCAGGAACAGGGTTAAAACAGGGAGTTCACTCACTCTACACAGCGAGCAGCTAGTAACCTCATGGACAACATTAAAAAAAAAAAAAAAAAAAAAAAAAAAAAAGAAGAAAAAGAAAACCTTTCTCCTGTCAGGACAGTCTGCTGTCATGTGCTCCTCCACCTGAAATGCTGCTGAGGCGAACACTCTTCATACAGGAAGTCCAACCAGTGATACAACAACCGCCCACCCCTCCACACCCACCCCCCCACCCCAAAAGCCACTTGGCTCTTCAGTGATAACCTCCCCCACCCATCATGATTATCGTCATCATCATTGTAATAGTATCAACAAAAATAAAATCGTAATCATTTCACTTCTCACACAGCAGGAGCCAATCAGAGTCCAGAGGTCCTTCAGGTTCAGTCAGTCTCAACCAATGGCTGTCCATCCAGAATGATTAGAAAACCACATAGCTGTACATGTAGAACCAGAGTCCTCATGCAGTGCCCTGCGAAGGTGGCACATCACATACGTGCACAGGTGGAAGTGGGGGGCAGGTGGTGGATGTGTGTGCATGGTTTTGTGTGTGTGTGTGTGTGTGTGTAAGAGAGTGTGTGTGTGCGTTTTAAAGAGGGAAGAAGCAAGGTTGTTAGGCAATTATCAGACCCAAAAACACACACAAAAATAAAGTATTACGAACAAAGTCTTTATCCACCATCTGTGTCCTCTTGGCCCTCATATAAACACTCACACAAAGCCTCTCACACATGCAAACCCACGCTCACAATAGGTCCTCATGTCATTGTGAAGTCATGTGTTCAAAGTCAACATTCAAGAAAAGAAAGGGGGGGAAAAAAAGAAAGAAAGAAACACCTCAATGGTAAAAATCATCTCTACCATCACAATGCTTCAGTTCATAAAATCTCGACATTTCTGAAAAGTGATTCGGCTTTTCCTCCGGGCTTAAAGCAGTATGCGTGTGTTTAGTTGTAGTCTTTGTCCCACTGCTGCCAACACACACACATGCACAACCAACATACGCACACTCACGCACTCCAGCACACACCACATGTCCTCTTTTAGTGGAGAAAGACATGGCGCAATGGAGAGACACTCTTCCTCCAGGTGGATGCATGGATCACCGGGAGGAGACCGGGGGGTTGTTGCCATGGCTACCAGGGGTCATCCAGCTCACCAGCACTCTGGGGAGATAAACAGGACAGACATGGAGACAGATGTGCGTTAGGTTTGCTGTTGCTCCAACTTTCACCGCAGCCAGTTGTTTTTTAGTTTACAAATGACAAAGTTTAAACCTTGCTGGGGATTTTTTTTTTTCTCTTTCAGTCTAATCATACTAAATGGATAATGTTGGAAGAAAGTGATATTCCCTGTACAGTCTGTGCGCTCACACAAGCAGAACCTCTGATGACTCACCTTGCGGAGAATCACGAGGCCGACTGTCAGACTCAAACACAGGGAAGGAATGAAGAGAATGGAGTCCCTAATGTCTATGCAGCTCCCCTCTTATTCCTCTCTGCCAGCTCACACAATGCAGTGGCGTTTATTTTGAGGTATCAAACACGCGCACGCGAGCGAGGGCACACATACGCGAGCTGCCATGGTTAAAGGGAGACAACCGATTAAAACTTCACAGAGGAAGGAAAGAGAAGGTTTACGCTGCGCTTCAACTGGCCCCAAATGTTTTACAGGCCACAGAAGCAACACACTGAATGTAGCGCAGACAATAAAAAGGGATTCACTTTGTCTAAGAGTGGCCCTGTTTCAAATGCCACCATATTCCTTTAATTATTAACAAAGCGATACAATTTTTGACTGATTTTTTTCAGCTTTTCCACCCTATCACAGCCCCGATCAAGACATTTGCAAGGTGACCCATTTGACACATAACTGAAACAAATTAAACAGAGAAATGCAGTTTCCAGTGATGCAGTTTAAACTGATACAATCAACACAAATCAGTGCATTATACCTCAATTATTTATTGAATCATTGGTCCCTTGTGGGACTGTTTGTCCAACATAAGCACATACAGATATAACTCATACACACGTAAACACACACACACACACGCGCAGTGTTTAGCGTGGCCTCACGTCTGAGGGCTAAGTGCTTTAGATTTGAAAGAGATACCTACAGTGCATGCATTACAGGAGTCGGTCACTCCCTTTAACTGCTTTAATGGAAGAGAAAAAAAACTGCAGGTCAAGCGCTGTACTACAGCTTTAACAAAAAGATTTAGGATTGTCTTTGCAACATGTCTGGTCTTAACCCTTGAGGACTGAAAAATGCAGTGTGCAGGCTTTTATGAAGTTGTGAAACCCAGAAAGCCACAGATCACAGCAGCAGCTGTCAGGGGGAGCTGTGGGAACTGACTCCAGCACCGTGAAACGATGGCAGACAAAAGAAATGTGCGGCTGATGTTCCAGAAGGATGCACCGAGCATCGCTGCCTCAGTGTAGACACAGGAAATCGATAGAGTTACAGAGGAAAATGTCGACATTTCAGTCGCTAGTGGAATATACACGAACGGATATGTGGAGGACACACACATTTCAATCCTGCAGGGGGTCTCCGCCTTCAGATCAACACTGAACCAGAGAACTCTGTTACTGATAGAGGCATTTCCACAGCTCTGTTCCTCATGAACTACACAATCAGCACCACTACAGAGTAAAGCATTTCAGCAGGAAATATAGGAAACCCTGCAGGCCTAACGTCACACACAACTTTTATTTGATATATATCTGACTGTTTATGTTTGTAAAACTTCAGCTGGAGGTACGGATGGCTAAACATTAGTACAGGGGGTTCTCCAAAGGAAATTGAATTGTATATATTCTCAGTCTTCTTTTTAACAGCGCAGTTATCATGATTGCATTTACTCAGCTTGACTTTAATCTGCTTCTGTACTTTGTACTTTGAATTTTACTTTAAAATTCTTATCTCATTTTGTTCAAGAACCTCAAGCTTTCACTTAATCTTTTTTTTCAGCCGCTGCTTCTATTTTCGCATGTGCAGTGAGGCTCAGGGCTTAGCAGGCTGTGTGGTTTCAGACGTCACTGACACATCTATACCAATATGACTAATAAAAACCAGGCCCACATACAACCACCCGGTGTGTGCTTTTTCCACAAAAAGCAATCCCAGTGCTGGTTCAGAGGCAGTGCTTCACTTAGAGCCAGTTTTTGCCACGACCACTAACAGCTCTGGCTCCAGTGCCGAGAAGCTAGAACTAAATTTTTGCTGGACTACAAAAAAAAAAGTTAGTTCTAGTCTACTTCATTCAGGAGAGGAAAAAACAAAGAAAGAACAATCCATAACATCCAGGTGACTGGTGAATGTGAAGTGAAAGCAGCAGTGGAGGGGCTCCACTGAGTTCCTCCCACTTTCCTGACACAAAAGGTCTTGAGTCGTGTTTATGAAGATATCTAATTTCAACTGCTTTTACAAACAATGTTGCTCATTCTAAGAACTATCAGTTATTTTATACTTGTTCATAAAATCTGCCTACTGTATTGATCAATGACACTAGAGGGAGGTTCAAAGACCTACTGGAAGAGAAGCTAAAAGTGATGCAATGATAGCTCACCAATTATCAAAACTGTCAAACAAGTTCCTAGTTGCTTTCTCATAAAAAACAGACCAGAACTTGATGTTGAACTGTTGACTCTTTTTTTTTTATTAATTAACCCCGGCCTGTTTTGATTACCTTTCCTTCACCAATATATCTATTTGCTCCATAATATATCAAACTATAAGAGCAGAGTCAGTGGGGAAGATTGTTCCTTTTCTCACTCGCTCACAGTCTTGCAGACACATGTACATCCATACAGACCAGACAGGCATGTACACAAAAGACTGTTCTCAGTTTGTCGATGGAGCAGGCCTGGATACAATGCAGCACATCATAAAGCTGCAGAGTGTCTCCACTCCGGGTTTTTGTCAGTTCATCCGCTGTAAGTGTAGGGTGAGGCTGTGGACTGGGAGGAGGGAGGTGAGGCAGGGAGGGAGGGAGGGAAGGGAGGGCAGCCATAAGCAAATACTGGAAGATGTGCACCACAGAATGCAAGGTTCACGTTGGCTTCACCAACCACTTCTGGATTTAATCCCGAACGCTAACCGATTATTTTCTTTTGTAAACATTTGTGTGGTAAAGTCGAAAAAGTGACCAGCGAGTTCAGCTATTCAAGCCAAGGTGGAGAAACAAAACAAAGTAGGAGTCCTCTTTTGAAACGGAAGGTGGAATATAGTATGAATTTCAAGACAGAAGTTGAATGTACATAAAGGCCTTTTTTGTTTCAAAATGAACAACCATGAAAGGGCAAATGATGGCCAGTGTGCCCATTCAACCTCTGTGGTAAGGAGAAGAGGAGCAAGGTCAAAGCAAATCTGACAAAGCTCAAGGTAGGATGGATGAGTTGGTGGATGGGTGCGTGCTCAGTCAGAGGAGAGATCAGACTCAGTGGCAGGTGCCTCTTGGCTGGCCTCTGACTCTGCAGTGGCAGGTGAGGGCGGGGGTGAGGGGGGAGAGGGAGGGGAGGCGGTCTGCTCCTGGTCGCCATCGTCCTCGTTGTCGGATGTCCTCAGGCTGCCCCCAGCTCCTTTGACAGCACTCTCCCCACGCAGGGTGTAGTTAGCCAGGGACTCCTCCAGCACCGTGCGGTACTGCCCCCGGTGGTGCAGCCGGAACTGCCGCAGAGCTTCCAAAAGATGAGCCGCCGTGCTGCCACCTCCCTCCTCACTCTCCTTCTCCTCCTCTCCCCCCGCACAGGCCTGAGGTGACACGCCAGGGTCAGACTCTGCAGACAGGCTCCATGTTCAAACACACACCAGCATACATCCACATGGCAGCGGCACAGTGTTCACATCACTGACGCTAATATTTACCACAGGAGTGAGACAATGTCAGATATTCTGGCACCACGCAGACGGGCCCATGCAAACACGCCCTTTGACCCAGTGACAGACGACTCTTATGCGATACTCGCTGTCTGCACTTTTGTAACACAGGGGTCCAAAGACAAAACTCCACTGGCCGTGAATATAACGAATGCACCGCTGTGCATTAGTACACAAACACACCTTGACACTCAGCATTTCACGCGATCAGCTCTTCAGAAAGAAGACATATGGGGAGACACCTGCAGCCTTCAGAACTGCTGTAAAAAGCAGGACGACAGACGACCTTTTAAGGCAAAAACTCAATTTTCTGAATTCATGGATCAGCAGAGACCATGTGGTTAAAATATCCACAATGAAGATAAGTTTACAGGACAGCATTTCAACCTGAATGCTTTCATTTCAAGCATTTCATGCAAACAGCAATGTTTGTGTGATTATTTTTATGAACTATGTGGACAGAAAAAAATATTTATGTAACCATCTGTAATTAATGTATACACAAATGGAAGGAAGGTCAATAACACATTAACCACGTATGAGTCTTCTGTAAATACAAACATTTAAAATGTATATAAACTTTATACTTGACAGCGGAAACGAAACAAACCACACAATTGGGGGAAAAAGAGAAAAGATTCACACTCATAATGCATAATGGCAATTTCTAATCTCCAAGAGAATTATAGCTCAGTTGAAACTTTGAAAGTCTTTATAAAACTGAAAAATCTGTTACACTTAACTCCAAACTTACTCCTTTGTAAATCTGAGTATTTCTTAGACACCTAAACTTGAGGTAGAAAAAACAACAGCTATTTGCGCTCATTCACTGACAGCCAATCAGAATCATCTTGCCCACTGACACACCTGACCATCATTTCCAACGAGTGCACCGGTGCTGAGGGAATACAGTGAAAAACAGAAGTGACAGATGCTCACAGTGCTTTCCGATATGCTGGCTCTCAATACCAAAACTCAGTCTATAAACACCATGTGACTTATACCTCTTTTTTTTTTCAAACAGGTTCATTCAACTGGTGTACTTCTGGCAGGTTCACCAAACTCAAGTGCTTTGCAAACCGGGTTCATAAAGAACTGAGCCCTTTGAGATGTGTGGTTTAAAAGACCACTGCTAAGGAGTTCAGGCATCTTACAGTAAATCCCATTTTCAGTTATAAATACACTGATACAGAGTCTCTGTACCTTTCAACATGGAAGCCACTGAGTTTCACAGGAATATTCTGTTTTCTTTCACACTTAAACAACACTCATTTTCTCTCACATTCGCACACACTAAAAGGGAGTCCTTGTCTTGAGCCAGAGTGTTTATGGGGTCCTGTTGAGGGAAGGTAAAAAGGTTTAAGAGGTGCGAGAGCATTCAACTCACCCCTTCCTCTTCTCTGTGAGGATTCAGCCTGTTGTACACCGCCTCAATCACACTCCGTCTGAAAACACAACACCAGCACAGGGTTGGCTGCCTGGATGCAAACGACTCAACATAATGCAGTTGCTGCTTATTCTGGGAAAATGTATATTGATTAAGTTTATAATGGAGCTCCGCAACTCAGATGAGAATCAATGCATTAAGACCAAGGGCATATTTTAATTCAAGTACAAACTTACTCTGATGAGTGGTACCTAATCATCAACATAAAACTTATGAAAATAAAGGAATCATGGAAATATATACTGATTATACTGATTATGTAAATCATAGCCTTTGAAACAGGAAACAAGCTCAAATACCACGACGGAATCTAAACTAAAAAGAAAAGACCAAAGCCTCCCTGTGACGCAAGCCTGAAAAGTTTAAATATGTTAAAGCTAGCTGTGGTATTTATGTTGCTACTACATAATCAAGCTTAATAACATTTCTGGTATGTTGAATGTAAAGTGCATTGGATGGTATATTTACTTGCTGGCCAGGCCTCCTCCAGGTGGAAGGTTTGGGATGTTCTCTGAGGCAATGCTCCTTAGGACAGACACCAGGTCAGGGACTCCTGACTCCCCACCATTTCCCAGAAGCTCTGTAAGCAAGAACAGAAAGCAAAGACAAAAGACTGTTAGTCCTAGGCAAGGCAGTGGAACATTACACTGCAGCATCAGGGACCAAACCACCCCCGGTGGAGGTGAAATTTTCAAAATAAGTGAAAAACAATACTTGGAAATTTTTTTAACACACAATGTTTGTGTCTATCAATGCAGAAGATGCTGACCTTCAACACGGGTTTCTAGGTATTTATCCAACTCCTCTTCCTTCTTCAGAGCCTCCTCTGACATCTTAGGAGCACCAGGTAAACACACCAGCACCACGCTCATATTGTCCCTGCTCCCCTGCAGGAGGACAAGAAACAGAGGTATATAAAATAGATAAGCCATATCGAATGAAATTCAGTAAATGCCTTTAAAAACAGCCTCGAGCCACTGTGACACACACACACACAATACTGGAAGTAGTAAGGTTCTTTGAGGTGAAGAGATCTGCAGCTCAAAACAATAGATGGTGTGAATAACCACAACTCCAACGTTTTGGAGGACTGTTCTTTCTTAATATAGCAAAAATAATTTTAGAATAAAAAACTACTGTGTGAAGAAATCGTGTGCTTCGGTGAGTGGTTATCGAAGTTTTTGCACATGGATGTTGCAAAAACAAAGCTCATACCATATTTTTGAGCTGCATACTATTTCATAATGTTACTCTTGTTTAGTCTTGCCTTACAAATCCAGCGTACCCCTTTTCCTCAGTGACACCCTTTGCCCCTCCCTGAATGCCTCGACTTCGCCAGGCTGTGGCATGTTTTGAGCTGTTCACAACAGCATGGCAATGAAATATCTATTAGGAAACATGTTGCCTTAAAGGAGGTAGATTACACTAATAATCACATTTAAAAAGACACTGTGACAAGATGTGACAAGTAGTTTGGTAGTAGTAGTTTAAAGTTTCTTTTTACAAAGAAGAGATGGGCTAATGCTTTTAAGCAGCTTTAGTTTCAGAAATATTCTATGATTTGAGGAGATTTTCTTTTTAAAATGATTTGTCAAAGACCAAAAGGGCAGAGGTCCCTCAGGTCTTTGTACAGGAAGGAGTCACACCCTCCCCCCTCCTCCTGTGGTTGGAAAAAACAATCAATAACACAACAATGATCTGGTTCCTGGATCTAGTTCCAGTATCAATGGTCAAGGTAACAGTGGTAGTATTCTTTTTTTCAACAAAACAGTCCATTAGCTCAAGGAGTACATTGTTTTTAATCTAGCACTGTACATGTTTACTAATATTACAAATATTTATTCTATTTGTCATTATTTTTTTTAAGATTTTTATGCAAACAGTTAAAAAAGAACACCCTGTAGAGCTGTAGAGTTTTCTAAAGGCAGGAATAATGAGCTGGAACACGCAGCAATGACATTGAAGAACGTTACCAGTGAGTAAATATTCTTTTTTAAATTATCCTAAAAATGTCTGATGTGAAATTACCTACTCTGCACATCAAAGCTGAAATTTATTGTGTTTGTGTCCTAAAACACACTTTGTTTTACAGGTATTTCTCTGATACTGATGAATGTTAGAGAATGGAATGATTAATAAACCCTTACCACAAAATTTAATCTATCATTATGTTTTGGGTGTTTTTTTATATTTTAGGAGTACCAAAACATACATTTTTCTTTCTGTGTGCACTGCTTTGCATTGACGGAAACAAAACTAATTTCAATCATTTCAGTGAAAATCCACATATTTAATCCACATATCAAAGTCTGCTTGGGCAGCACATTTAACCCCACTCATGCTCATTAGAGTGTGAATGTCTGTACAATGGAGAAAAACTCCCTGAATCAATAAGAGCATGAGTGTGTGAGAGCAAGACATAAAAGCGTCAGGGTTTACGCTACATGTAACTGATTGTAGCGCAAAATAAAGGCTGCCACGCCTATATTTGCACACTAAGTTTGACATTTGAATATCATGAAACATTCAAATTTACTATAATTTGAAAAACCAACATCGTCATCACCTTTCTGCCTGTGAAGCTGCTGCAGTTGTGCACTGCGTGTAGGAAAACTAGAGACTACAGTCCAGAGTGGAGGGAGTGAAATAAAGGTACCTAAGGGAGGTTACACTCAGTTTGGAATGGGCAGAATTGTCGTGTCACTGGAGGTGTCATTTACCAACCAAATGGTCACCTTGTCATTACCCTGTAAACGTCTTTGTGGTCACATTAACTTTTGGTAAGTGTACAGTGTCACATCACAAAAGTCAGTGGCAATGGAGAGGATTTATGACCATGCATGGCTGTTATTTGAGATAACCCATCCAGTAAGGTATAAATAACTTGTCTGCTGTGCACCCGCTGGTTCTTGGAGTACCCAAGACAGCAAAAAACAGACATACATATATGTGAATGGTTCATTTTAAAGTCTTAAGTGAGATAACATACAAAAATAACTAGATTCTTCCAGTGGTCAAAATCGAATATCTGTATGCATGCTGTCATGGATGGAACATCACATGTAGAAAATAGCTCACCTTATGAAGGCAGGTGTCCACCACCGAGTTACAGACCTTCTCCAGGTCCTCGCAAACCAGCAGTCGTGAGCGGACAAACTCACACAGCTCCTCGTTGGACATCACATCCCAGATTCCATCGCATGCCAGCACGACAAACTCGTCTCCTTCCACTGCCCTCTCTAATACACAAACCTCGGGCTCAGGGCTCACCAGCTGCTCTGTGGGGCCCTTTCCATCCACACATTTGTAATCGTAGTCCCCCAGGGCCCGAGACACAGCCAGGGAGCCGTTTACCCTCTGGATCATGACTGAGCCTCCTGCATTCTGGATGCGCTCCTTCTCGCGGGGATTACAGGGCTTGTGGTCCTGGGTGGAGAATCCCACCTTCCCGTCTCGACTCAGCACGGCCCGTGAATCGCCGCAGTTAATGAAGTAGAGGTGAGTGGGGCTGAGCAACACGCACACAGCTGTGGATCCGCTGCGGTCCAGGCCCTGTCGCAGGTCAGAGAAGTTGCGCATGTATTCATCAATGTTCAGGAAGCCTGAGCGGATGCCATCCTTCACGCCCTCCACAGAGCTTGGTCCTGCACCAAACTCAGCCCCTCCTGACAAGATGTGTTCCAGCAGGTGCCCAGAACAGTAGTTGGCGACCCGGGAGCCAGCATGGCCATCATAGACAGCAAAGAAGGACCAGTCGGTGAGTCCATGGGGAAGGCCGACCACAGCGGTATGGGCATCCTCCATTTCCACTCGCCAGCCCTGCATGGAGCTCAGGCCATAGCGCAGCCCATTGCCCTCACCGTGGGCACTGTGTTTCTCTGTCTTCGGCTTGTCTAGGAATGCACCCATTGCTGCCTATAGCTGGTAAAGAGAGAGGACAAAGATAAAAATTCAACTTCACCCCTGTGTTTTACAGTCAGGCAATTTAATCATTACACATGTATAATAAATTTAGACTGCAGAGGCTACGAAAGAGAGCAAGGCCAGCAATACCCTCTTGGATCATGTAAATGTTGACCACAAAGTCAAAACATACTAAAGCGGAGCAACATCAAGCTAACTTTCAGCTGCATAGTTCAAGGAAAAATCTATTTGGTATTGAAGTTTTTTTCCAATGTGAATCGAAATCAAAGTAGGATGTTGTTAAAATCTTTTGTCTGAACCTGAAGACATCAGACTGACACTCCTGAAAGTTGTTGACAGATGACAAATTCTAAGAATGAAGAAGAATCCCCCCCAGTCCTAAATCTTTGGCTCCACTTCTGTCATTTCTGACAATGAGGTTGATCAATGCTTCCGTGGCACGTAGACAAACACAGAGATCTCACTTATACCGACAGACATAACTAAATATCTTAATAAACGTGGTTCTATCATATCAAGAGCCTACTGGCAATGTTTAATACCCGCATAGAAAACCGCGAACACACAGGCTCTGTCACTGCCTGCTGGGTTTTTGCAGTCATGAATGGCTGAACTACTTTATATTGGCCCTTTTGAGATACGATTCACAGAACAATAAACGGTTTTATCAATCTCTTAAAGAGACTAGATTCAGTCATACCAACATCAAACGCCAACCCTCCTTAGGGGTTCAGTCAAATACACGGGTCGTGATGGGGAAACCACAGCTTGTGTGCGATATTTACCATTTGCAAAACAGCAAAACACTTTAAGGGAAATCACTATGACATGATAACCGACACTGGCCATACACTTGATGTGAAACATCCAGGTAAACAGGATCAGCAGGAAATGTTACTTTATACGGGTTTCAGATTGTTTATGAAGGACTCCGCATTTCTTTTGTCAAAAAAAGACATAATTTTAAGAACTCAAAATGACAAAAACGTGCAAGATAGAAAAGTTATGCAAGCCTGCAGCAAATTCTGTGTTAATCCGTGAGGAATGGATGGAAAGATAGCTGTCAGATTCCTCAGAGAAAGCAGCTGATCAAAGCCAGAGGACTGGAGATGTGGAACATGTTCCAGACGCTTTCTGGTGGGTGTTTGCTGTGCAAATGTTCATACTTTTGAGGCCATATTTTATGTTTTGCATTCTGAGCCCCAAACTGCTCACCGATGCCCTTTTCCTCCAGTTTAAAGATAAATGTAGTCATTTAACACAAACATATGAGTAAATAAAAGTGCCATTATGTTGTTCATATCAAGTTTGTTACATCATGGAGCTGAGCAGCGTCCCTCACTTTAGGCTAACAAGCTACTCAAAACTATAAATGCCCTATGAGTGGAGGATATTTTAAATTCAGATATTTTTAATGTATGTTAACATGGTATACTATAGTGCTTGTAAAACTAAATAACTGGCTCTGAAAGGACCATATGAGTGGCTGATGTGTTAAGTGCATTTCTGAGGATAAATAGCCAGCATTTGTCCACATGCAAACATGATGACTTCAGCGATGAAGCCTTAAAATAGATTTTGTTGCGCAGGTTGTTGGCTATAATGTTGGTTAATGTAGAGAAACATAATAATAAAATCACACTATCAGTGTTTAGTAGCCACTATTTTTAGACATAGTGGAAAATGTTATATACTTCCCAAACAATCAGCACAGCTCTTCTCAGATCTATCACATGTAAAGTTTATTTGTTTAATGTAAAAGTCAGCTATTTACATAGCCAAGTCAAATTTGTTAAGAAACATCATTACGTGAATGGATGATTATTTAAATCAGAAGTCATACTGAGTCACTACTTTCTGAAGTGGTATTTACCAGTAATCAATTTACTGAGTCAGCAGCAACCCACAGCCATAGCCTCTCAATAAATAAACAGGTAAATGAATAATCACATCCCAACAAAGTCATCTTTGAGACGAGTTGATGACGATTCAACTGCCTCAATGTGGCTTTGCTTCAACTAGACATAATCTTCCATTTCAATCAGCAATGTTTGTTTTTTATGCTTTTTGGGCCATTACAAAAATTAATCACGATTGATGTAAAAGAAAAGGTTGGGTGTACTTGAGATCATAACATACTTATATATGTGTTTGTACACTATTTTCTGAAATATGTATGATAGTATTTTTATAGCATACCAAGTTTTTTCAAATCTAAATGTGAATATTTTTGTATTTTCAAGAGGATTTTGGCAGAATTACCACTTCATTACATCCCAAAGCTGTCCAATGCTTAACCAATTTCCCCCATTGCGAGAATTTCCTGGCACATCTATATTTTCACATCCAGATCTCATGGCTCATAAACTCATGAGATCTAGAAAGAAGTCAAACTGAAAGCGCCATGACATGATACATACATTCCACTTGGCATTACTTCTCACATGAGCTCACAAGTGGTATGACAGGCATGTGCCCAAAAAAGGCCGTTACATGCAAGGAGTGACTACAGCTGGTTTCAGAGGAAGGTGTGTGCGTGTGTTTGTGTCTGATCTGCGCATGTGTGCAGCGTCATAGTCTATGTGCCAGAGAAAGAGATGCTCTATTAATACTCCCGGCCGGTTTAGATTTCATGAGCAGGGTGAAGCGGTGTGCCAGGCCATTCACATTTCTGCTGCTTTACTGCTGCATGATTGAACCAAAACTGTTTTTCTGGCTAACAAAAGGCTACCCTCTGGATGTCACCTGTATTGTAATGTCGAAAAAGTATTCACATGTCTGCGTTGAAGACAAATCTGTTACTTAACCAGCAGTGATACTCTCTAAAAATAAAATAAACACACTGCCATTGCCTAGCAACCACCCACCCTGCAGTGCAAACATCCAGGCTGAGCTTCATTCAGCGGCATCCCCCTCACAACGTCTTTCTCTCACGCGCTCAAAAAGACACACACACACACACACGCTCAGCTGCTTGGCAGGGAAAGGAAGGGGGAGTTGCATCATCCATCCATTAAAGCAGTTGCAGCAGCCAGACCCTGAAAGGAGACGTGCAGGCTGCGAGAACACAGGCAGACACTAAGATTTTGCTGGCTGCAAAAGCTACAACACGCAGATGGAAAAATCACTCACATTTACGGAGCAGAAAAAGCCACAAAATATCACTATTGAGACATCAAACTGAAACCAGGAACTTTCAACCACTTAACCCCCTCGAAACTGCTGTCAACCATGCTCAACCACAGGCCGAAACCAACACCCCCAAAGTAAGACTCTAGTCTGCCAAAAGCCACTCACAAGAGGGAAGTGGAACGTCATGGATTACATAATGCTGCAGAGAACCCTGCTCTGAAAGCAGACACATTCTGAGGCCACACCTTCCCATTATATCAACTCACACCTAAATAGAATCTTGCATGTTGAATACTGCCAGCCTTTTTTTCAAATCTTGCCAAATTTTCCTCTGCTAACCTTTCCTCAGCTCTAACTGTTTTTTTCAGATTTCCCATAAACCACAAAGAACAAAAGCAAGACACATCCAATACACAACTGTTTGTCCCTGCTGCAGGTGTGCATCACAAATCAGAGAAACTTAAATTATTAATAACCATTACTGTAAATTATCACTAATCAGGTTTGGAAAATTCCTGGAGCAAACCAATGACTTGTGACCAAAAGTGGACACTTTGTTAAATGTCAGGATGGATTCACTCACAATTTTACAAATTCCACAAAAATCCAACTGAGAAGTAAGCCTAGAACATTCAAAGAGTAATAAGAAAAGCTAAAAAGCTAAAGATTTGTGAACAGCTTTTTGAGCTTCTGCCGTCTTGTCTTAATTTTAAACTATATACCAACCACATGAATAGTAAACTCAATGTATTGAACCCATAATTACTAAATCTAACAGCATCTGGGTCCTTATGGGTGTAAACTGCAAACAGTACCTGTTAGCTTGTCATGTGAAAGTTGAGTTGTTTTTATGAAAGATTAAGAAAGAGCGTGCAGTGGAAATCCACCAAATAGCGTGAGTCATCGTGACTTTTATAAATGATCACTTGCCATTCTCACATCTGTGTTAGAGTAAGTATTCAAAATCCAAAGAAATATAGACAGACTTATTTTAATAATTGGAAAAATAAACTGAGCCAGTTACAAAGCTCTTTGACCCATTATCCATCCTTGCAGCAGCTCCACCATGTTATCCACAGCATTTCACAACATACAGCTAAACTGGGTACATCCCCTGTTTAAAATCACTTAAATTGTAAATAATAACAATCTGCAAAATAGGTCAGTCATGAATAGGGCTACAGCCAGCATAGTTACATAAACAGTTCAGTCAAGCAATAGTTCCATACTGATTTGGTCATTTAGCTGACAGCCCACGTGCATGGCAGCAAAATCAAGTCATTGACAAAAGTGTGTTCCGTGCTGTAAAGCGAAATAATAACACATTGTACACATTCTGCTACCTCCAACTTTACTCACAATGAATGCAGGCAGAGTCAAATTCCCTTCTTCTACCTCATCCCTTAGTAACAAGAATGGCAATTTTGTCACATGACAGTCAAAAAAAGAAGAATTTCATTTGATCAGAAAATGCTTTTAGCAACCACAAGTTGACACAGAGAGTCCTGACGACCTTATTTGCAGTCAAAATTTCTGACATGTTAAGCCGTCCGACAAGTACAAGCAAAAGATTATCTGAATTATCTTGTTGGGATTTTGAACCTATTAGTAAGCAATTATACTTAACTTTTATTACAGGAAGAGCTTTGGAGTATTCACAGAATCCCTTAGCTCCCAATTAGTTTATTTTAACAGCCTGTGAACACTCAAAATTATGTCTTTGCCAATTGGGCTGATTTTAACTGGATGTCCGTATCGTTGCTCCACGTGGATGTGAAATATCAGAGGAACTGAAAAATCTCATTAGGAGACTTTTCAATGCATCTACTTCTCCAAGGAAATTCAGAACAAAGGATAAGAAATTAGTCAAGGAACAGGTCAGGTTATAGAACCACCAATAAAAGCTTTTTTGGGGGGGATGCTCCAATATTCTCTGCATAACTTAAGTATTGTAGTCATTGAGATGAGGCAAAAGCTTTGACACGGGACAATAAATATGGTAGTCACTATTATGGTATACTTATAAATTAGTTTGAAAATACATACAAGTATTTTCTTTTTTTTCTTTTAAATGTCTCTGAAAGAAATTTACTATATTAGTGCTCCAACATTAAAAGATCATATATACCTCTTACCAGACATAACAGATTATGAGTCCAAGTGTAAAATAAATATACTTAGGTGATGCACTGTCAGATAGATGCATCTCGTACTAATTAAAAAAATAAAAAATAAAAAAAAGGAAAGGAAAGCACCTACCACAGTTAGGAGTTCAAATCCTTCATATTATGCCAGGAAATAACTTTGGCTTTTATCGCCCAGTTGCAGCTTTCAGAATATCTTGGTATTGTCTGCAGTTCCGCCAGAGTTAAGCTAATTCCGATAAGATCTGTGAAACACTAAAATAAGTTTGCCGATTGTCTCAATCCCCTGGTACTGCGTTTCATCACTCTTTACACAGTGACTGCTGACTCAGATAAGCTTATCAGTGATTGAACTCCTCTTGTATCTGACGAGCAGGGCACAGGCCCAACACCAAGTGATGTCATTCACTGGTCACCTGTTCACCTTATTGCAATCTGATATACTAGAGAAGGTGAGTAGGGCAGCTACATTTTCAACACTACACAATACAAAATTGATGGTGACATTCATCATTCATTCACTCATTCATTAGCATTAGCTGTGACAGCATATCAGGGTGGTATTATAGGGATATGTTAAAAAGTTTAAATCATCTAAGAGCATTTTGACATTTTAACAAAGATGTACTGTATCACAAGGTAAAGTATCAGAGTTGATTATTAGGTTTGATCAGTGGTAGCAATCAAGTTATTTTCAAACAAATAGTGTAAATTCTTCATTAATTGTGCATTTATACTGTCATAAGCATGCTTAGTCAAGCTTGTACAGCTGTTTATCCACTCAAAATCTAGGCGTTAACCGGTCTTCTTAGTGCAAACCTTTGTACATCTTACTCAATTTACGCACGTCATTATATCTAGAGTGCTCTAATGCAGTTTGGAATCCTGGCATTTTATAGACTAGAAGTGAGTTCTTAAACAACATCCTCTGCCAAATGCGCTACTATTTTTTTTGTACTAAAGAAAGCAATCCATACCAGCAAAAAGCAATCCTCCCTTTACCCATGCTATTTCTTTAAACTTTTTTTTTTTAAAGAACATTCATCAATTGAATTTGAACAAAATACATTAATACAAGATACATACATTCAAATGTATCTGTATTAAAATAATTGTGATCTGCTGACAGTGGAACAGGACTGTTCATAAACAACTTATCAGCTTGTCAATACAATTCTGTCATCTATCCTTCACGTTAATTCCTAACTGGCCAAGAGACTAAAAAGGATCCATGTAGGAACAATCAATTGCAACAACAAGCACACACAGTAGACCAAACAACACAGAATACCACTGAAGGGGTTTAACTTAACGGTTCATTCGTGTCAATAATCAAAGCTGGATAGTTAATATTACTTGATCACATCAGTGGGACATTTAGAAGTCTGCTATATGTTCAATCTTAACAAATATCACTCAGTTGTCAAGCTAACGTCACATGGCTAACACTGGCACCCAAATGACAAAGTCCGTCATTAGCTAGTTATAGCTAGAGTAGCTATAACGTTACAATGCACGTTTAGCTAACCTGGGACCGGACAAAGCACAAAAACCCGCGTCTCGTTGGACTGCTTATGAGTATAACTTAAAAAAAAAAAGATTTATTAGAAATTCCCCAACTATAACATGCTAAGTTACACTGGACTTCAGATGCTTGGTCAGGTTTTAATTAGGAAGTGGTGTACTTGTATGCTAACATCACTGCTAAGCAGTCTTTTAACCATTCCCCAAATTTCAGGTTCTTTCAGTCGTGTTTCTGTATTAAATACCGATCCGCTGACTACAAGCTGAACCCCTTCCACTTTACGCTGTCCCCTATGAGCAAAGGCCTACTTTGTTGGTATGATAATATGAGCTAATGTTAGCTAGCATGCTAACAACCTCACAGCTAGCTGTCGTTGGAGCCAACAGCGCTGGCTTGTCAAACTCGAGCTAATGACGTTAGTGCACATACTAGCATGCTACTTACGTTTTCCTGCTGTTGTGCGAATGTAGATCCAATCTTGATTATGTGACTCTGCTTTTATGTGAAGATATGTCGTTTACCGAGCCACCTACGGAGCTAATGTTAGCTAGCTATCTATGATGTGTTTCCCTATTTAACTAAAATATTCGAGATTGGCCTCAGTTGAGCGGCGATAATTCTTTTCTCGGTGGTTCCCTGCTTGGACAGCGTTGATTTTTACGCATGTTTGACGCCAGTTCTGTCTCTCACAATAAATGAAGACAATTGCGACCGTCCAAAACAAATATGGAACCTGAGAATTGGTTATACTATTATACAACACTGTCAAATCTAGCACTTTCGTCCATTGAAAGACCAGAGCTATCCTTCGACTTTGGGTGCTGAACAAGAGGAGGTATTATTTTTGGTATCTGCGTAGTGATTGGTTCAAATGACTGGAAGAAGCGTCTCTTAATTGGCTGATTTTTGTGTCGATTAGCTCTGCCCCTGTATATACTACATCGTCATTGGTTCATTACAAAGTTTTACGATGTACTGGAAATGCGGGATACACTCGTAAGCTGTGCTTGCGTACACCGAAACCGTTCTGAATGGGCGGAGTCGGTCTTTAATTAGGAAAGTTCACCTAAAATTGATCAACCTTAGCCAGCTGTTCAAAACAGAAAATCTATGCGTATACAATCCTCATTTGTATTCTTTTAAAAAAACAAAGAAAAAAAAAACATTTAAAATACCATTGGAGGAATCTAAGCTCCCCAGGTGACTAACAAATTACACATAATGCATGGATAATTGAGAAGGTGTTCCAACATAACGAGGAATTGTGATACTGTATTACACTAGAAGTAATTTTCTATCCCCGTTTTGATTTGATATAATTGTCACATTGTCATCAAATTTGTACCTCCATATAGGTATTTGAATTACTGAGTAATTTCAAATTGTAATTGATTATATTGTTTCTCACGATACATAAATAAATAAAAAACAGCCATTTTGACCTTGCTCCTTATATTACTGAATAACATCTGGCTGATACTTTGACTTTTGGCATTTTCCTCTGTCTGGTTTCTGTAGGATTGTTATAAAAAAAAAACTAGTGCACCCAGTGAGTAGCAGACTGTGATTTAGTGTTTTGAATAACCTTTGTGTTTTCTTTGTGTTTCTAAATAAAGGGAAGTGACTGTTATCTCACTTGTCCTCGCAGAAATTTATAAAGAAAAATGTGTCCAGGTTTTACAGATAAAATTAAGTAGCAGTCAAGCTCACAGTCTTCTGAACCCACAACATATATAAACTTACATCGTACACAATGACCCACTAATATCAGTAAGCATAACAAATCTCTTCAAAAGTTTAAAGTGGTTATATCTTAATGCCAAAATAAACTAGACTTCCTATATAGACTATATGCATAGCTCTTTATAGGCATAGCTATGAAGAGGATGGAGGTATTTCAGTGTCTCCTGGTTCTTGCAGTTCAGAGCCCAATTTATTTTCATCATAGAAAAGGAGGGTCGAGTGAAAGTTGCAGATTTATTCTCTCTAATTTACTTGGTTAGGTCATCTATGTTTTATATGTCCATTGTCTTCTTAATAATCAATACAGCACTTTAGATAATATCAATATAACACAGCCATGGTCTTTGTGTGCTTTGACATCAAAATAGATGTCATCCAGTCTGAGAACTGGTCGGCTGATATCCCTCTCTGCCACACATCACAGTATCTTTAGGAAATGGATCTGCTCCCATGCAAATATTTAGCATAATTTCCCTGAAAAGCTCTGTTTTATCCAAAGTCTGTTTATACTATCCTTCAGAAAGAAGCTGCATGTTGTAATAGGTTTTAAACAGCCCAGATCGGTGGTAAAAAGCGACTGTCTTTCTTCACAGCATGGTTGGATGTTTCAATCAAGTTTACAGCACGACCCTACAGAGAGCAGGGATTTCATGGCTGGTTGTGTTGTCTAAGATTTTACAGCGATCAGCAGCAAAGACCACTTAGCTTTGAGTCCTCTGTCTGTAAGACCCTGCTCCAGTAATCCTTTGTTCAACATAAAATCTATTTTTCTATCATATCTTGACAGATTTCTTGCTAACAACTCTGCTAAAAATTGCTTATAGTCAGTCTGTCATGCTAATAGTTCAGCCATACAGCATGAGAGTTTGAGCACAGAGAATTGTTTCCCTGCAGGGAGAGATGTTCTGGGATTGGTTTAGCAGTATTGTTTGTTGACCCTGACCCCCTTCAAAGCTGCTGAATCCCATTTATAGTCACCTTTTTCATCAAGCCCTCACTTCTAATCAAAGTAGTTGAGGGTTCATTGAAAGTGTTGTGTTGAACCATAAAAACAAGCTTGTTTTTAGGTTTAGAACTGGTGTTTGTGCATACCTTGACACAAATATGTCTGTGAATTTGAGTTACACTCCAGCTTTGCAGTAAATCTGGGATATTTTAAACCGTCCACATCCTTTAGGAGGGTACTGTGTGCAAGATTATATATGTAAGATTACATGTCATTAGTTTGAGCAAATATGATGCGCGATGGGGGAAAAATCTAGGCTGGGGCAAATAAAACTGGGTTGGGACGGTTTAGCTGTAATAATAGTGCATGTATGAAGATGTGGTCGTGCATCAGGGAATCTATGTTATCTATGTGTGTGTGAGGGCAGTATGGTGAGAGCAAGGCTTATCCGTTGTCATTTTGTGTTTCTCCCTCAGGATTAGACTTGTGTCTTATTAATGAAAAACTCATCAGATATCAGAGCGGCTCCCTAAGGAACCAACCAGAGTTATGAGACACATGTTAGATTAAGACCTTGTGTGTGTGTGTTCACAGGAGAGAGTGGTATTTAATTTTCCAAGATGAGGGATTATCAGTGGCAGAATTTGATCATTCTGCTCTGATCTCAGGATGTTCAATCACAGCTTATCCCAAATATTAAACTCTCTGTCTTTTGTCCCCTTTCCCCTCAATCCCCAACACACAAACATATTTACACACGCTCACACGCGCTCACACACACACACTCACAGATGCTTGTTCTGCTCCAAATGCCAAGCTTCTCATTGAGTAAAGTGGCCCGCTGAGCCTACTGTCAGGGTAGTGTGTGTTATGTGATTGTTCAGCCACCTGGTGAGCTCAGGGGTTGGGGGAGTAGAGGGAAGGCGAGGGGAAGGGGGGAGGTGGGGGGTGTCTGGGAGCGTTGAAGCTGGGCTTTAGTGTCTTATGGAGGCAGCTGAGGAGAGTAAATTAAAAAACTGTTACATCTAATCCGGAGTACCAAGAACAAGTGGCACACGCTCCAAAATCTGATTCGGAATGTGTACATGGATCTGGATGAGCTTAAACACACGCGCACACACCCAAACACACACACACACACATGCTGCTAAACGCCCCATGATTGTGTCTCGAGCCGGATGGGGGGCCTGCGGGGCGGGGGAGCACAGGGAAGTGCGAGGCTCTGATCTGCACTCTCATTTTCAGCCCGGGAATCTGCACGCAGGACATCTGGGTCATTACTGCAATCTTCTGCTTGTTCATTCCCAGCTTTGTGGGGCTTAGGGTGAGAGACCTGCACAACAGGTCGTATGAGGCCCATGCAGGAACAGGAGAAGGTACGTTCAATTACATCTGAAAAAAACAGAAAAATTATGGGTTGTATATTTATTTTAACATTATAGATACAAAGATATAAATGTGAATTGTTCAGCTGCTTTTGAATGATTTGGAGAAAACAAATCTCGGTGTTATTGCTGAAGATGTGTTTTACCAAATGAGTAAAAATATGAAAATGACTACATCAACAGTTGATACTTAGATTTTTGCATAGAGATACCGCATGGGAAATGCCCTCAACACTTCATGTCTGTGTTTACATCTGTCTCATTTACGGAGATGCTGTTGGATGCAGTCATGACGCCCTCTAGCGGTGGACACCAGCTATATGACGAAGTAGCACTTCCGCCTAATAACTGGCGAAGGTGCTCTTGTGCACTACAACCACAATACGGACTCCCATCCGTTTACTAAATAATTTCAAACCGTTAAACAATGTTTCTATATTCGTATTGTTCATTGGTAAAATAACAACACAGTCACGATTCTCCTATGAAACTTTCATGCCATGTTCTGTCACTTATTCAATGAGCAGACATGGGAATTCTTCAGGTTGCTGATGGGACCTGACATAAGATAATCGGATCTCTAGTTACAAAGCCAATGCAACTGACGAACACCGGTGTTTCCATAAATGAAATGGTTGAGGCACCCAGGAAGTTTCGTCAACGATGCTGCTAAGTGACGGTAACGTCCAACGCCTCTTCCAGTGGGGAGCTGCTGGGAAGGTGTGCTGGAGGTAAGGGATTTTTTCTTGTTTTTTCACGTTGTAGCGGCGCTGGGATTACACTAAAAACTCTGCTCCAGGTGAGGCTCGAACTCACAACCTCGGCATTGCTCAGCTGAATACTGTCATATAAGTACCGCGCGCTAACCGATTGCGCCACTGGAGCTACAATCGGTTTTGGCCGGCAAATGGGCTCAAAACGGATAAACGGCTACGAAAAGAGACATTTTTTACTCGTTTTGTGTTTGTTTTATGCTTTTGCTGATTTAGCACGTACAATTTCGTCGAGTCGACATGAGTGGCGACGACAGCGGGCCCACAGTTGAACGGGTGACATGCCCCAACCGCCGACGACTGTGCTGCGTTCAATGACCTCTCATAAAATCGGATAAATCCAAAATAGGTTATTTTGTGAGCAGTAATCATTTTCAGTATTTTGTCCAAAAGAGTTATCATTTTCCAGTTTGAATTGTCATTTCAGCAGGTTGATTACTGATTATCAAAAAAAAATTTGACAGATTATTCATCCAGTGCTTTTATAAAAGTGCTATAAAGCACATATGACAAAGGGGAGAAAAGACAGACCTAAAGGCATGAAGACATAAAGAGATACCACTTAAACCCAGATGTGTACAAATAAATTTATTTTTTAAAATGTAGGACAAAGAAAAACTATTAAATATTAAAAGTACTAAAAACTAAGTGTTAGATACAAGGAAATTAACAAAACCCAGATAATTGACAGAGAATGAATGTGGGAATTGTGTGGGAGTCTCAGGATTTATAGATAGGTTTATGTGTGAATCATCTGTGTAGCAACAGAATGAGACATTTTTAAAAAAGAACAAAAAAGAAGAAAACACATTCTGTATAGAACAGTAAAAAATTAAATATGAGATTAGTCATTTTTTTCTCTTATTACATGAAGCTAAAATAAAAACTAATTTGAAATTAATATTACCTATACTGGCAGATACAGTAAAAAAATACATGAATAAATAAATAAGGTTTATTTTAAAATTACCCAAAGAGAGACCATAGACACACCAAGATGGCGTAGGTGGCTTGTGGACAGTACAGGATGTCAGCAGAACTCAGAAGAAATACACTGTAGCCTGGCATAGTTGGTTTTTCTTTAATTTTTCTCAGCATATTCATAATTCTACACATGACAGACATGAAACACCAACATAAACATTCTGAATGAAAACTAAGAAATCAAGTGACCCACTGGTCAAAGACATGCGGCGGCAATGCCAGTTTCAAAACTTAGAATAAGCTTCCGTAAAGGCTGTGTGGGCTAACTGGCAACTTTAAGAGAGGGAGAGATGAAAAAAAAAGGAAAAACCTGACTGCATTAAAGAAGATATACTGTAAAGAAAACAGATACTGTTATGAAGAGGCAAATAAGCACAGTTTTTTTTTCCTTTTAAAGTTGCAGTTGCGCAGCAGCCTTGTGGGAAATATAGGAGATTCATGCCTTTTTCTGCTGCAAAAGAGGTGCTTACACACCCTTGGTAGGGTGAGACAGCCATAGAAATTGAATGTGAGGAATTTACAATGCTGTAATGAGATATACAATATATAATACACTGGCTTTTGTTGGAGGCTTAGGCCCTTAGATGTCAGTGGGCTCCCTGCTCCTTTTTGCATTGTTAAAACTTCAGATTCTTTCTAATTAACTGACCAAACTTTCAGGTAGAGTTAGAGGAGCTTTGAAATTTAATGCCTCCAGGTCATCATTCTTCTACACCGACTCCCGCCCATCTACGCAGATGTCAAGATGACCATGGAAAAACTGAAGGTAAAACACAACTGAAAGGAGCCATTTCCTAAAAAGCTGCTTCAGTCTCAGAGTAGTGCATTTCCCTTTTTTTTTTAAATGTCAGGACTGGACATGTGTCTCTTCTTGAGACTCACGACCCACAAATGCGGACCCACTCAGCCCCTCCCCCCAAAAATAACTTTATACAAACTGATGAAACGTCACAACTATTCACCATCGATACAAAGGTCACACAAAGTTCCGTCATCATGTTCCGCCATAAAAACTAAGAACAGTACACAACCCCTTGTTCTCTTACCGTGTTGTTTGCATGATCGCACATGCGCACACTCACACACACACACGCACTCAAATGTACCCAGATACTGTATTTACACATAAAGACACATTCCCAGGGGGTCAAAGACAGGCAGCACTTATAGTCGGGTTTATGTTTCTATTGCGGTACGGCTCATCGTCACATCCTTCTGTTGCCAAAGAGCTCGTTTAAGCGTTGTCGAGGGGTTATAATGCCATCTATAGGATTAAAAAATAGGATTCATTGAAAGAACAGCAGGTTAGACTTTATCAGTGTGGACGGATGCAGGTGGAGTGTGAAGGTCAGAGAGTCTGTATGGGATCAGTCATGGATGACGATGGGGCCGCGCATCCTCAGGCTGGGGTGAGGGTGTGGAGGGGCGAGGACGAGGCCCTGCGGGGGGCCCTGGGAGACCCTGCGCAGGGTGATTTGCTCGCAGGGCTGTCGGCAAGCGTGCCTCAGCTGGGAGCGGGACAGTAGCCGTCGAGCCCTCCTAGACGGGTGGAGACAAGATGGGGTGTGAGTGCATGGAAAGATACAGGATATTTGATAACTGTAAAAACTCCACATTTTAGTGGAGTGAAGATATATTCCTCACAATGGACATTGTATGCTGTCTATATTACATATATATGTTTGATTGTTTTTTCCACCGAAGCATACTGACTGGTCCAGAAAGTACATGTGCAGATATTAGTTTGGAAAATTGGATTTATACATTGATTTATTAATAGATTGAATCAATTTATTAATTTTCTTGTTTGCACCCAGGATACTGACTGGTCCAGAAAGTACATGTGCAGATATTAGTTTGGAAAATTGGATTTATCCATTGATTTATTAATAGATTGAATCAATTTATTAATTTTCTTGTTTGCATCCAGGAAGTCACATTTGATTTGTATTATCAAATGACTTGATAATAAAAATGACTAATTTTGTTTAAGTTTATTTCTCATATGGGTTTGATTGAAATCACACAAAGCTTTTTTCTGTTTTCTTCAGTGAATATGCGTAGAAAAAAAGCAGTTTTCTGATGCTAAGACTTTAAACTAGTTTAAATGACTGAAGCTTAAAATTTCTGAGGATCAGATTTGCAAAATAGGTATCCCTAATTTAAAAAGATTCCCCTTGAGTGTAGCATTTCCTGAAACACCAAAACAGATGTACAAATAAATTAGGTAAGAGGGAGGTCTCTCCCAGCAGGACTTTCATTTTTTCATTATGAAGTAGCTTGGAAGTCGTTTCCAGACCGCTGTCGACGTTATTGTGCAACAGTAAGAAGCTTTTAAGCGGCCACAGAAACCGACCATACCAACACCGTGGGACACCCTCACAACTGCAGCAATGCTAATGGAATGTGACCACACAATGTTCAGGTGATCATTGATGCAGGCAGTTGAATAGTCAAAGCTCTTCAGCTCTTTGGATGCTTGTCGTAAATTGCAAACGGATCCCTGCGGTTGATGAAATGAACACATTACACTATATAATGTGCCTGCACGTCAAGTGGTAGAAAATGTGTCTGAATATGTGTGCCACCATCATGCATCTCCGTGCACTCATCCATCTTTGAAGTGCTCTACAGCTGAAGGTTGATTATTACACACGCTGTCAATAAATATCCAACCGAACGCAGACAAAAAGGACACATTGACCACTAAATTTGGAGGTCCTGTGTGTATGTTCAGCTATCTTTTTGGAAGAGGAAAGCAGATGTTTATCAATCCTTTAACATCTGTTTGACATTTCTGTTTTATTTCTTCAGGTCTGCTTCGATATAAATTGTTTAACATTGAGGTGTTCTGGACTGTTAGAGCATTTTAATGCTGCTGGTAAAAGGGTAGTTCTTTTTCAAGAACACAATGGGAGGATTTATGTCGGGAGTGGAGGTTCATTCCTGTGGGGGGAAAAAAGAAAAGCTCACTGGATGATTGATTATGTTGAAAACTGGGGTTTATCTCATCTATATTTTATTTCTCACCCATTTTTCATCTGTGTGAAATAATTTTACAATAGTACCCATTTTCACACTATTATCATGGCCAACATCGGTCATGATCCTTCATTATTCCCTTCCCAGTATTTTTGTAATTTATGCCAAATGTATAAATGTAAATTATATCTAGTTTAATTATATGTTTGATTCTAGTTTGATTCTTCATGTTTTTTAATGAGTTGACTTGCTCTGGTCACATTTACTTTTGACCGTTAAATTTAACAGCAAAATCCAAACTTGTGATAGTAATGTTTTTTTTTTTCAGCTGAGATCAGATCACAATCACAATAAAAGAAAATTCTGTTTCATTCTTACTCCATCGCGTCTTGTTTAGTGATTCAGCTCAACACCCCATTTTAAAGCTTCGGTTTCAGTTTCTGGATGATGAAACTGAGCTGAGGGAGGTATGGAAAAATAAAGGATGAATAAAGAACAGCAGTAAGAATGTTTACAGGTCTCAATTTTCCCAGAAAGGATGAGTCTCTGGTTTCAGGGATCAAAGACTTCTCCTCTCTCACCATATGATTTATGTGGCCTTCTTTTTTTGCTTCTTCTTCTTTCTTTTTTTTTGCTTTTCAAGGTAGAACTTGTTATTTTCTTCCGTATATTCTTCCGTTCTTATTTTTGTCCAATTTCCTGGACACTCCATTTCATGTTTCAATTTCTATTCATCTCCCACTTCTTCAAATGTGTCACTTAAGAGAATGATAAGGGGGGCAGAAGACAGAAATGAAACTTCGATCATCTCTCATTACCATCAGGACAGATCATCAGATAGACATCTGTCTCACGGGGACGGGGAATGACAAAATAATATGACGAGGAAGCGCGGACTGGATTGTGATGCCCTCTCTGTCACACATCAACAGTCCTGCTGATCTTGGTGGTGAGTGAGTGATCTATGTGAGTGCGCCATGGTTAATGCGGTAATGATATTTCCACTCAGAGCACGGCAGTGCCTGGCTCCATCTGTGGCAGTTAGCGGCTCTAATTTTAGCCCCTGCAGATCGAGGGAAGCTGTGAGAGCCGGGTGCCATGGCTCATTTAGGCACCAGCTTAATGAAGAAACATCTTTCTTTCTCACATACGGACACTGGACAGTTAGATTAATAATGAACACACGCATACATCTATAGGTTGTGTGTGAGGTGGAGGAAAAAACATATCTATTCAACTCCACATTAAATTATAATGACTTCAAAGTGTGTAATTAAGGCCAAGGCAAACAGAAACAAACAGAATATAAATGCGGGTGGCCTGTTCTCCCGGGTTCCAAGGAAACTTTAAACTGTGTGTATTTTTAGGGCGTCATTTTTAATAATTCATGTTCTCTGAAGGCTCAAGTAAATCTTTTTTTTTCCAAAAGCTAAAAAAAATGTAAAAAAGAATAATATCAGCTTATTCAATTCAGTCTCTTGGCGACAGTTGGGTGAGGAGCTATTTCTTTTTTTATTGACTTTTCCGTCACTCGGCTGATTGCGTCATAAAGTCTCAAATGCTAGTTGATTGAGTTTGAGTAATCAACAACATCCTAATAGCTATTCTGGAAGATCCGTCTTGCCACATGTATGCAGTTACTTTGACCTAAACGCTAATATTACAAGTTCACTCACAATGGCATTTTGCTCAAATCAGCAACAATAATTATGATGCACTCAAGCTGTGCTCATCGTGTGAGACGGTGTCCACTTTCAGACTCTAAAATGGTTAAAGCCAACACTGGCAAGATGGACAAAAGTCAAATGATGAAGGAAAGTCTGGTGACAGTCTGGTTTTTGTGTGTGGCATACTAATCTTGCCTGGTAAGATTTTGTTTTAATTTGACTAAGAATGAAAAACTATTCTCCATTAAAAACAGACGCATGTTCAGGGTTGTCATCGAGAAGATTTTTACTCTAAACAATCACTTTATCCTCTCAGGCACTCCAGGCACTGGAGAAATAATTTACACAGGTGGCACTGGGAAGATCTACTCCACATATTATACATCTGGTGGACTAAGCAAACAGCACATTATGTGGATATTGTCACTAAGAAGTAGCTGTACTGAGAGATAAATATCTGTTATCAAAAGCATTTTCTGATCAAAACAAGGAATACTATCTTATGTGAAGGCTTTGATGCAAAACCTAAATCTGTTCACACAAAAAATAGATTTGTAGTTGTATAAACAGCAAGCCACTAATGTCCCGCTGAAATGTCCTGTTATTAGCTGTCCGAATTCAACACAAAACAAAAAGAGATGACCTTTCTGCTCAGAGCTTATCAGCTTTTGCTCAACTCTCACCAGTTATTGCTTTCAGTTCACACACACACAGATCACATCAGTCAATTATAGGTCAGTAGGGGGTCACCTTTGCTTACCTGGTCTCCCGGGTGACGAGGAAGAAGCTGTCATCGGGGGCATCGATCCAGTTGGGACGTCTCTTGCGAATCATCACTCCACCGCGGGTGTTTCCGCTGCTGCTGCTGCGTCCGTTATGCTGCCAGAGGGTCACACACAATGCCTTAATTACAAAAAGCAGCGATGCAGATCCACAAAATCTCTTTCTACTGATTGGAAAAGTTCACCAACCATGAGAGGTCCACCTGTCGAACCTGGGTTCTCTGCGAAAACAAAGTCACAGCGGTGAGAGAAAGATGCAAAGCACACGTGAGGGAAACTGTCAGCTAAGAATAGTATTGATAAGTTTATTCATTTTCCTATTTAGAAGTGGTGCAGCAAATTACTGTGTTTCAATTTCAGGAAAAATAGTGAAGTTACCAATAAAAAACAAAGTGTCAGACTGAAGTTGAATCATCCAAATTATCCAAATGACCCCCATCTGCTGATTCGTTTTCATTAGAATTAGTTGTCATTCTCTCCAACGAGCTAGTTTAGATAAGAAATGGCAGAAAAGGTTATCAACTCCCGGTGCGGTTCAGCTAATCTGACTTTGCAAAGGAAAAGGATGACAAAAACATTTCATATCAACATCGTTTGGTCCCCATGGTTAATTTACATAATTTGTCATTTTAAGGATGCATTTTTCAGCTCAGTGGGGGTTCGCTTTCACTAACAGTTCCTTGCTTTTTTAGTTGGGTTAAGTGAAAGAAAAAACAAGCTTAAAGATAAATGAACTATAATTACTTTTCCGAAATTAGCTCTGATTTCTTTTCTTGAAGAAAAAGTCCTTGGGTGTACCTGAGCGCCTGTCCGGCTCAGCCCTGCTGTGGTGATGGTAGCTGCGCTTTCCCAGCATGCCATGGGGGCCATGTGGGAGAGAGGAGAGGAGGCGGCGAGGGGGGGGCGTCTGCAGGCCTGGTGTGCGGTGGGAGCGAGGGGCATGGGCCGCTGGACGGGACTCTGGAAGAGACACCACACTGGAGCTGTGAGATCTAGCTCCCATGGACCATCTGAATAATTTATACTTCACTGGATTCAGACTTCAGAACACAGAGATTATGTTCCGCCTTATGAGCCGAGACACCGGCTGCGTTTGTTTACCTAGAAACTGCAGAACACTGGTCAGAGTGCTTCTCTGGGCGGCTCTGGTTTTGGGTAGGCGAGTCCCCTGCCCCTCGGACACCCTCAACATGTCTAAACCGGACAAACAGAGACATTTGTGTCAGTCATAACAGGCTCCCTCAGACTGCACAAATTCCCTTTTCTATCGTTTTTTTTCTTTGTCAAACTTACATCCTTCCAGACAAGATTCGTATCAGATTCTAGAATATACGACGGTGAGGCCATTTCTTGTGTCAATGAGGTGAAAAGAAAGATGCGGGTGTCGTTTTAGTGGAGAACTGAGGTTTTGATGCGGCGAGTTGATTTTATGGAAGGCATGACCACTTTGGGGAGAACAAAAAAAACAACAACTCCTTCCCCCCTACATGCGTAGTGTCAGAAAACACATGCATGCACATTCAAAGACATATTACAGGCACATTTAGATGAATAGAAAAAAAAAGAGTGCATTAAAAGAGTAGGCGCCAAATGATGAGACCATGCTTGGGGGGGGGGGGGGGGGGGGGGGGGGTGTGGGGGGGGTTTTCCCAGGGGGGGGGGGGTTGGGGGACAGAAAACACAGACACATGAAGCACAAGGACTCGAAAAAATGCTTTCAGGTGAGACTTTATTGGAAGTCTACTCTCACATTCACGCAGTAATGAAAGAAAAAGAGCAAATAGAGGTAGAAGATGAGAATATTGCCACAGTCGTTAGAAAATGAGGGATGAGAAGGCAAACCGGAGAGAGAAATGAGTCTGAATGGCAAATCCTGTTCCCAGGATTTACAAGACAGTGGAGGCTTAGGGATGGAGTTGTATGAATATTGCATGATCTGAACACAGGAAATTAGCTCAGCGAATGGGATGGCGAGGGTCCATCCTACAGCGGGAGACTTGGTCTCCTGATGGGTGAGCCTGTATATAAAGTGGGCGATGTGGTCAGCAGCAACAGAAGTCAAGACCAGCTGCATATTGTTTCGCAGTCTCGTCTTCACACCCAATCATTCAAGTTTCAGCGGTCAAAATCTGTCTAAAGCTCACTTTAAAACCAAATGTCAACCGTTAAGCGTGATACACTCAGAGAAACACACATTATTAATGGAATGAGGGGGGAAATGCACAAGGAGGCAAAACATTCAAGAAAAATGATGATGGTCAACACACCAAAGCGTTCAGCACTTTGTTTTTTTGCCTGAAATGACTTGACAAACAGGGTGGGAGCACCTTTAGCAGGGGCACCGTGCAAAATAGAGCTTCTCTTATTAAAATACATTTTCTCTACTTATAGCTCCAGCAAATATACGGCTCAGACGAGAATGACTGCCATTGCAAGCTTTACAATCTAGCTTTTAATTACACTTATATAGAATGTGGATTTACAAATGTATGCAGCTATATATGTAGATGTTGAACCAATATTTGTCCGTGTATAGTTTCAACAACGGCTTTCAGGTCACAGTTGCCAGGAACCATCAACCATCACAAATTCAATGGAAAAAAAAAAAGAATGAAAGGATGATCAAAACTCATAGTTATGAGGACAGGCAGTCTTTATTGGAAACGGGGGTGGGAGAATACAAAAAACAAAATAATAATAATAACAATAATAATAAAAACAGAAAGAGAGACAGACGGGGGCAAAGATGGGGGGGTTGATGGCAGGGCAGTAAGGGGGAGGGCGAGGTGAGGAAGGGTGGTGTGTGTGTGTTGGTGTATGCTGTGTCTTCTGATGTCTGTGTGTGGCCATGTGGCAGAAGTTAGGAGGAAGTGAAAGAGCTCTTACACTCTGCCTTTATGGCCCCACAATTAATGGGGACAAAGGGCCGGCGCGCAGCGCGGCGCAGCCTGATGATGTCACGGCACATGTGCCGGGCCAGCTTGGTGAGGCGGGTGGCCTGCAGCAGGAAAGCTTGCTTGGTCTTCATGGAGGACTTGGGGCTGCCGCTGTTACGCATGGGCACCATGTGGTTGGACTGGCGAGGAGCATGACCCCTAGAGCGAGAATCCTGAGATCGAAGAGAGGAAACAGTGACGAACAAGCTGCAACTTAAACGTTACAGAAATAGGATTTTAGAAAAAAGTCCCTTTAGTGTCGGGTATCGGTGTGATCCACGGTATTTGATACATAAGAGTCTTTTTCTTTTTTTAAGGTAAGCTTTGTTAAACCCTGACTACCATTTGCTCTTCCCTGTATTTCACACGTGCTCAGCCTGAAGCTCACATTGGTTGTGGGAGTGGGGGAGGTCCTCTCTTCTGGGCCCTCAGCTCTGCTTGGCATCTTCAGACCACCGTACTTCTTCCAGTACATCCAGCAGGAAACACACAGGCGGCACTGCATGTTGGGAGGCCCCCATGAGTACCACTGGGCCGACTGCATGGCTGTTAAAATTCAAAACACATTTCTGGTAGTTAGTGTGCTGGCAGAAACAAAACGGTCTCAAGACACTGAAGAACATTTATCTCCTCCCTGCAGAGTCCATGGCACCATAAATGATTTTATCAATACTCAGCAGCATGTCCTTTATTGACTGCAGCCTCCAAATGAACATTTCAAGCACTGTCCACACAGTAGCAAAGATCAAATTCAATGCAAACAGACATTAGAGTCTTATATGATTTAGATTTAGTTGATTTTTGGTTAAGCCAGCTTTGGTTCATCTTCTAGCAACACGACTAGCTGATGCCTTTGCTTGCAGCTGCTATCAATACTCCCCCACGCAGTAATTTTAATTATTCTACTCAAATCTATTGAAGGCATTCAATAACAACCACAAAATGTAACAAACCATTCCTGTTTACGACCAAAGTGACAAATATTCTTCACATGCAGCTCTGAAAGGCTTTGGTGGCGTTCCATGAAAACGTATCAAAATGAAAAATGTATCTTCTATTCAAATGAAATATCAGCTTAACTAAAAGTTGCAAAATTGTTATCCAACCCAATAAGAATTACCTTTAAAAAGAGAAAATTTGTAAATAGTAATTAGGGGGAACGTTGGACTTTGAACTGCTGTGGTGGTGCAGAGGTGACTCACAAACCAAACTTACTGTAGCAGCTCTCGCAGGCTCTGCCCCCTCCTGCTGCATGGTAGGATCCGGGGCCTGCTCCGTTCACCGTAGCCATCTTGCCATTAGTCATTGAGATCTGGTTGGGGTTGGGTTTGTTACTGTTGGACAGAAAAAAAAGTCAGAGAGATAAAAGAAGCAGAATGAAGAGCCCTGCATTCCACTCAAAAACTCTTTAAAAAAAAACATGGTCTTCCTCGTACAGATGCAGATATATAATGGAAATCTACATCTGAACTTCAAATATAGCACTTACTATGTGGGAATATAAACCTGCTTCAGTTTGCTTTCTGCTTCAGCTGCCTTCAGTCTTTTCTGTGCAAGGAGACAGAAAAGAAATGTATTCATTACAAACAAATAAAAACAACTGCTGCCTTTCGCCATGCATTAGGCTGATTGATGGTGCTCTCACGCAGAGTGACCTCTGTGCTGTCACTTTTGCTTATCTGACAACTTTCAAAACGTTTCCTGTGCCCAAATCGTTTCACACACACACACACACAAAGAGACCGTTTTTGTGATGGGGGTTATCACCCAGCCTTTGAACAGTTGTGCAACCTTTTCACTACTCAGGAGAAAAAATGCTTGCTCAAGTCTCATCTTCTGCTGAAGGTGCAATTACATTTTTTTTTCTTAAGAGACATTCTGCACTACAAATGACAGCTTGAGAGATTGCATAATTTCAGTGGCAGTAAATGTCCTGAAAAAGATGCAATTCAGTTCAGAAAATTAGGTCCAAACTTTTTCTTTTTGCCTAAAATATGGCCAAGCATTCAATAATTCATTTCTAGAAGTTCAGAGTTAAATTTGTTTCTCTTTCCCTGATAAGAAGAAAAAGCCGGGCACACGCAGAATCAGGGGCATGCGGGCATAAATCAAATCAAATTTAAATTTCAGACGTAAAAGACAGAGAAAAAAAAACAATCAATTCTTCAAACCGGCAAACAGACGTTCTGCTTTTTATTCATTTTATGCAGATCAAAATGCACCCTGTGGAGTTTCTGTTTACTTCTAAAGCGTGGTCGTGTTTCATCTCAGATGGGTAGCACTCAGAGTTAGCAAAACGTCTTTGCACCAGGCTGCTACCAACAAAGTGCCAAAACATACATTTTAAAATTGGATCTTTGCTTGATTGGCAGATGTGGTTAGAAAGAACGCTGGTTCATCCTTTGACTTAGGCGTCTTTTAAAACACATCACTATGAAAAAAGGATTTCACAGTACAAAAAACTGACATCTTTAAAAGTTCTGACGAACAGTGAAGTAACCTTACCTGTTGCACATATCTGTCTGTGGTCTTCCACATGTAGTAGTACTCTATGATACTGGTCAGAGACTTCCATGGCAGCTTCACCAGCAGAGAGTCAAATATGGAGCGAGGTTGGAGAGACAGAAACAAAATTAATGATATTAATATCTCATGTTCTTGCCATCTGGGCGCGAAGCCCTCGTGTATATTCATGAGCGATAGACATCGTGACCACAGAGGCTGAGAGCGACTGGCTTCGCTCATTCTGGCCAAAGATGAAAACACTTAGACAGTGATTCACACATTTAATAAGTATTCATGAGAACCTGCCGCCACACCATAACCAATATCCTGGCTTTATTGTACAGTATAGGTATATTGGGGAAAGAAAAGTTGAGAAGAATTCATTACTCAAACTAGAGTTTTGAGATGTGAGAATTAAGATCTCCACAAGCTTCCTTATGCAGAGAAGCAGCTGTGTAAGGAAGCCTGAATTTGTGGCATTAAAAACAATTCCCATTGGGGTTATTTTAGTGAAGAGGGATGAACTGTACTCTCAAGTATCTCCAAATATTTAAAAAATGAAAGAATATATTGCTTCTTGATCTTCTTTGCTCTTCAGTTCGGTTTTTGCTTTTACAGATGATTGTCATCTCAAGCAAGCCAGAGTAGGACTGGAGCTGCTAAAAGTACTAACAAAGTCTTGTCGGATGTCATTGAAGTCTTTTCCGTATTTCTCTAATGCTTCTTCGAACATGGCTGCTTCTGAGGCGCTCCACTCCTCCATCTCGTCCCTGCAGAGCACTGGACCACCCGCAGGGACCAGCACACTCAGTGCACTGGACAGATTGTAGTTATGGCGATGCAGTGTGTCCATTGCGTGGAACTGGAACCATTGAACACAAAGAGATTGTTAGGCCCCTTCACTCAAATCCTCGAGAGTTGTTACATGGGTGGGAGAGCATCCAGCTCACCAGTGTGATGTCTCGTGAGGCTGCAGCCGCGCTCATATGTAAGCTTGGCTGTCTGACCGAACTGCTGCAGTCCAGCGCCCGGGCGAACGTGCCAACCGCCCTGGAAAAGTAACCAGAAACGCACACACGCATAAAGAGGGAATACATAACACAGGTGCAATTGGATTACTAAATAATCACACATATTAAATTAGAAGGGCTCGTTGTTCTGGCTCCCAATTTGCCTCACAGCTAAGATGCTTCCAGCAAAATACAACAAAAAACTAAAACAGAATACAAATGAGTCATTCAACAAACAAAATCAGCACTTTTATATAGAGCCTTCAGTGTAACTACTGAAATAACATTTCTTCCAAAAAAGATCACAGAAAAATCACATATCTATAAAAACTGATAATGAGGAGCTTTTCCTCAAAGTAGCTGAATATCATAGCTATGATATTTGGAGCCTTTTACAAAAACATGAAAGGATAAAACCATCAGTTTTTAGAGGGAATTTTATTTCTTATAAGACACTGGATCTGAATATGAGGGGGGACCTACCTTGCCACCACTAAGAATTGGTCTATCTGTTTGTTGGTGAGAGGACACTCTGGATCCCAGAGCTTCTCTTCTAGTTTGGACTGGTCCCTGTCATCTGCCTCACCTGCAAAAGCGGAGCGGAAACATCTTACAGATCTCAGACACATTAGTTCTTCCTAAAGATGAACATAGGAATCGCTAATCCAGGTGCAACTGCTATAACTTCAGTGCATGATTTCAAACGTGAGAAATAGTATCTTCATGCTAAAAGAAATCACCAAAATGGGGGTTCTTTAAAAATATGGCTGATTTACAAAAGTTATGATACTATCGCATATATAAACTGCATCATTTACCTTCTTGTAACATTTCAGGTACGTCTGCCTGAAAACGGGGTCCCACTCTGATCTCTCCTTTGTCGGCCAGCAAAGTCTTCTGTGTCGGGTCGTACACCAGTGAGTAGAAGAAGGTATCCTGAGAAAACACAACAGGTCTCGCTAAGAGTCGTAGTTCAGGACGTTGGGTTTACTTTTTCTTTCTTCCCCACACAGTGTCCATCTCCCCGTGCAGGAAGCGTCCCATCAGTGAGGATGAGCTCAGCTGCTCGTCATCACTGATTGGTGGAACAGTGTACTGTGCTAAAAAAGTGCGTGAACAAGTACGGCAACTGCTTGCCAGAGAGCTGTCCGGGCACGAAAGCACACTGTTTATTTATCAGCATACTCAGAGCTTTGTAAAGTGGGTCTACAAAGATCTGTCCAGCCTCTCTGAGAGAACATGGAAGTGTGTCTGGGACTGCATCTCAAACCTTAACTTAGACTCAGAGAAAAGCCTCATCTGTTTAAATTCTCAGACACATTTCCATGGTATTTCAACTGGTTTATGCAGTCTTAAGCTAAATACATTAATAAGGCCTGCAAGAGAAACACATCATTGAACTTAAAGTTTCATAAACAAAGTAGTGTCCAAATCTGAAATCCGCCAATCTGTAGATTTCTAAATCCAACATTACAGATGCAATCAAGTAAATTTGTCTTAAAGAACTCGTTTGATCAATTTACAAAAGGTGTTTGGTACACTTATCAAACAAACTGTTAACACACTCTGATGCAATCCCAAAGCGACATAAAGTAACAGTATCTTTTTTCATAAAAGCTTACCTCTTTGTCAAGGTATGAAAGAACAGACTCCGTCTCATTCAATAACGCAACACTGCACTTCCCCCTAATGGAGAGGGAGAAAGGGAAGCACGCACCATGTAAAACACAGACAAAGGAAGTGGGCAGTGCTTGGAATGTGACTGTAGCTGAATGAGTGACTATCCAAGGGCACTGCCTGCAGATGATGAGCTGCGCAGTCGGCTTGTGTGCGATACCTGATGTGTGTTGCGGGTAGACTCTCATACTGTCGGGAAAGGAAGAGCTCTCTGTGGCGAAGCTGGTGTTTCTGTTTCTCTGTTAGATCTATTTCTGTTGGGTTCTCCTTCTCTTCTTCCAACTCCTCTGCAAAGGCACGTACAGAAAAAGTAATTGTATAACAAAAAAAGAAGCGGAGAGAGGCTGTTGGTGTTGTCTAAGGTGAAAAAGATAAAGTAATGAAGAGCAGACTAATACAGAAAAACTTCAGAGATTGGAAATTCAGAAAAACAAAACAAACTGCTGTAAAATCCTAACGAAGTTTGACTTGTGCAGAGAAATGTGGCCTGGAATCGGATTTTAAGAACGGTTTTCATCTATAAATGCTGGAACAGCTGGTTTACTGCCGCCGAGTCAGCACTATGGCAAGCAGCAGATAAACATTTTAAATTTCTGGAATATAGAAGCACGCACATTACGAATACAGATAATCGGCCAGTGGCAGATGTATTAACAAAGGCGTTCGGTGTACAGGCTCTACTACAGCATCGCATTCCTGTAAGAAAATGCAACAACAAACTGAATTCCTCTCAGTGTGCACAAAAAACAAACAAAGAGGTATCAATGACTTGGTTGATGTCTTTTGTTGTTTAGTGATGCAAGACACAGCCATTTCACCTGTTTGTGCAGAAATAATTAGTCAGTTTTTGCTGATTTTGTTTTCAGAAAAGGGAACAAGAAATGAGCTCTCTCATTGCAAACTCTCAGAATGAGTAGAAGGAACCCAGAGGATTGTCCACATCGGACTTGTGGATACTTTGTCTACAACAATTCTAATTATGCTCCTCATTTTTGTTGCATCAAGTCACCGGCATAAACAACCAAAACTATTTACACGGCTTGTGATGATGGGAAATGAGAGCTACAGACCAGGTATCTACAGAGGAAATTACCAGGTTTTCAAAAGCTGCTATTATATCGATATAATTTATACCTCTTATCAACAACATGTTGTCAAATGAAAAAATAAACATAAAAAAGAAGCCCTCAGCTGAACAGATCATGTTTGAAATTTTTAACAACTAGTTTCTTTCTTGCAAATCTCCAAGCACCATTAACTATAAAGGCTAACGTTATCTGACAAAGCCAAAGGAAATTCAACATTTTTAGCAGGAACTATGAAACATCCAGTGGTCCAATGCCACTCAAGGGAGACGTTTGGATGCAATGACCAGTTAGCTTTCCAGCAGAGCTAATATTTCACCATCAGACTTTTTGCTGATTGATAAGCATGATAAGCAAAGCAGATGCAAAATTTACTGATAAAGCCCAAGAACACCAGCACAAAAGCCTTTAATCCTCTCTTCTGAGCTTCACTGGGAAGATCAAGGCAACAAATGATACATTAAACGTGTTATTTCAAAGCCAGCTTTCTATTTCTTTAACAACACCATAAAGTGAAGAAAATAAAGAAAAATGTACTGATGTCCATCAAATCTAAAAGAACAGGCTGTGCGTTTTTGGAAAATACAACCTAATAGCTTTCTCAGTTGAGCATGAACTGATCCCTAAAGGGGTTTTCTAATCCAGTGGGAAAAAAAGATAAACCCTCAGAAGACATTTGGGATTTTCAGGCATCAATCAGGAGTTTTCAACTTTCTTTGAGCAATAACTTCTATAAACCAGATTTCAAACAAATCTAAACTATAAATCAAGTTAATTCTTCGGTTTAAGGTGTAGTGGGCAGAAATGAGCCGAGTCTTTGGACCAGCTGGCAGACAGACTTAAACTGTGGAGCTGCGACAGCATCGTCTCTGGCACGCTGTAAGGTTTGTGCTCTTGTTCTGGGGGAGGCTGTATGTTTACGGAGCCTGATGGCACGCGGGCAAAATAGTCTCTGCAGTCTCAGTGGTGCCCGTTAAAATTATTAGGTTCCTTGGGCTGTGATGATGGAAGATTTGTTTCATCAAGAAAATTAAATGGGTAAAAGGCCTCCTTGGAATTACTGAGCTTCGACTCGCAAGTTGAGAAATCGTATTACCAGTTAATGCTGCAATAAGCAAAAGGTGTTAAATGAAAAGTTTCCAAGAAATATCTTTGGACTGAATGCAGCAGTACCTATTATGCCAGTTTTCCGTCGCTTTTAAGATGCTACTTAAGTACCACATTTCCTGTTGAATCCATTAATAACTTCCAAATAGTCTTGAAGGCCAGTTAATCATAGTCATTTATTAAATGATCTTGATTTGACAAACAAAACGGATAGTAACGGGTGGCATAAAACTATAAGAAAAACAACTACAAACTAAAGCAGAGAGGTGGGTACTCCTCTAGAGTATGGTCACAATTTCAAGAAAGTAGTAGTCTAGTGCACCTCACAGTCCGAAGTTAACAGCCAGCCAACGCCACTGCAACTGACCGTGGCAGCAAGCATGGCAGAGATTTGAACTGAAAAACTGACCAGCCGACAGGGCGTGCTACTCACTTGCATGTTTATCTGCGAGCTGGATGAGACTGTGAGAGATGTCTCTCCTTCTGTAGAAACAAACCACTTTGGCCTCCACATTCCCACTGGCGGTCTGAAACAGAGAAGACAAAAGAATCGGATTGACTGAAAAGAGTGGGTACACCTCCCTTCAAAAGACTCAAATTTCCCCGGGGAACTGGCTCCTTTGTGTGTTCGTCAAACTATGCCACCGTGACAGGCTGACCAGGGCAGCAACAGCGTTTTCTGAAAAGATGATTGATTTATTGCCGTACTGTATAATTAGGCAAACAGGCTTAAAGACAGACGGGATAAAAGTAGTGGCTGATGCAGTGAGATTGGATGTGGGGGTACAACACTTGACTGCTTGGTTACTTATTGGTTCTTCTTTTTTTTGTTTCTTAGGGAACTTCCAGGTGAATTACTGTTTTTATCGTAAAGGTGAGGGCAGAGTAACACAAACATGACAGAGCATTACAATACAACAGCATCACATATTAACTGTGATTGAATACACTCTTATCATTACAAAATGATGAAGATGATAAGCCACAGGGAGGCTCAAGTTGTCTGCAGGTCAGCCAAATTAAACCTTATCATGCAGGACGATCCCATTTGATCTATTCAGCTGTCTACCTGAAAAACCTAACGATGAAATAAATCCAGGTCAACACTGATCTGATACTATCCCAAATTTGATAACGGCCATAATTTATCTCAGTGTCTTTGCACACACTTGTAAAGACTTTTAATGGTAGGGAAATATATCAGGCCATGTCATTTAAAAATGGCCAGATATTTGGGAAAAATCATTTTTGGGGCATAGTTATTTATAAGAATGCCCATAAGGATTACGACCACACCAAAATGCACACAATCACAAACACACTCACACACATGTACCTTGGGATAACTAAAGTTAAGAGACTACAGTACACTTGTATCTCTCCCCCACACAATAAACACCTGAAAACACTACAAGTATGCACACAATGACAAAGAAAGGGAGTTGGGGAGAGCAATGAAAAGGAATCCATGCTATTCCCCTCCAGGCATAAACGCAAACAAAAACAGCACAAAAGCACAGCAGTACCTTGTTGAGTTCTTCTATCCGACGTATCAGGTAAGGGTTACTGGAGGAGTTTTCAAAAAATACATAATCTGCAACATCAGACAAGAACCAGTTACTTAATGCATCACATCACCGCAATATCGAATAATCTTGTAGAACCAGGAGAAAGTTTGTGAGGATGCGCTTTAGATCTCACACCAAAAGTCATCCAAAGGATATAAACTGGCTTTGTCCTCTCTCATTCATTAAATATATCACTCAGCAGCTATTAGTGTGTAATTGTATAATGTTTATAAAGATGTAAATAGAGTCATGCCACTCAGCTTCATGTGAAGCTGAGAACAGATCTTCACACCACATGTGAATGTAAAATTTACCATGCAAACATCACCAAAGTCACTTCCTGGTTCAACAGCTCAGCTTAAAAGCATGTTTGTGTAGTGCATGGTTCTACAAGGCAGCACACAGTTTTGATGTTAGATAAATAACTTAAGACTTTGGCTGCAGAGAGATTAAAATCTCCAATTTTCTGGCATTGATTATGTCCCTCCTTAAGAATGATCTAACTTATCTGACCAGCACTTACACATACTTAAACAAATGTCTGATGGCACTGTGTTCCTGATCCAAACAATCTATTGCCAATAAATGAGGGCAGCATTTAGCTGAAGCTAATATTCATCATTCAGTCATAAGCAATTGCATGCAGATTTTCATTGTGCTGCAGCCATTATTGATTTTTTTTAGATTGTTATTTTGCAGATTCCTTCACTTTAATCCGTCATAACATTAACAGACAAATATTTCAATTGAGGAGCACTTTTCACCGTTTAATTGCCTTTATCTAATTTATACGGGCAAAAACTTATCTGTACCTGTCAGGTTTCCGGACCTGGAGTTTACGACGAGCACCTGAAGGCAGCAGTACGGTCAGCAAAGTTAAAACCTTGTATTGTCTCTGTGTCAATAGTGCTGTCATGTTTCTTGCAGTTTATTTGTAGTGTATATAATGATATATTTATTATATACAAATGAATTGTCTTGATATAGGTTTAAAGTTTGTGTGTGTGTGTGAATAAACACTGACAGCCGCAACAATGCCATGAATCGAGACAGTAATTTGACGTTGAATTCCAGCAGTCTGCTAACAAGCTAGCCCACCAAACGCCCAATTTACATATTAATTAAATTTAAAAGTTAATGTGAGTTTATATAGTGGCACTTCTAGAGTTTCAATGTTACTCAGATGGTTCCGTGCATTGTTGGAATAACAAGAGCGTATTGAGGTGCAGATAAAGGTAATCAGTGAAGCCACCGCTGGTGCTAACGTTAGCTAAATAAGGACTCGTACTAATGGCTGCATGCCAGAAGAGGCAAATACAAAGGAAGCCTCACACTGACCGTGGCAACATTTTAACAACCGCATAAACATATGTACAGTCGTGAGGTCCCTTGCTGTATCAGTCCTCCGTAGCCAGGGTGCTTGTTTTGAAAAAGTGCTGTAACAGCAGAAGGTGCCGACATCTGAAAAATGTTTACATTATAAGCTAGCCACTTAGCAAGCTGGCGGCTAGCTGCTGTGGCCACGACAGACGCGAGGCCTGACCCATTTTGAATCCCAAATATTAAGAAATTCTCACCTTCCTACTCCAACTTAGCTCACTCCTGCTTTTGTGGCACCACCGTATTTGACTGTTAAATGCAACATGGCTATAATAACATCGTTCAGCAATCAAGAGGAGCAAAACTGAAAGCGTCTCTGTTTGATTAAAAAAAAAGGTCCACATTGACGTACATACCTCCGACCCGGTACATGTTGGCCGCCATTTCTGCCCTCCCAGAGCGTTAACGTAAAGCATAAACTAAGAGATGTTGAATAAATTAATTTAAAAAAGAATAAAATTCGATTCCTTAAAAGATAAAGGGGGGCTTTGGATTAAGATCGAAGAGACTCCGGATGTGTACCCTATCGGGAGAAATTTGGCAAATCAACCCCCCCTCCTCCTCCGATTCACACAACCCTTTACAATACAGTGAACTCACAGCAGCCAAAAGAAGTCGGATCAACCCGAAAAACCACTGACTGGTGACGAGGGAGGGGGCGCGCACGCGCAAACATCCGCACAGACACACGTATGCACGTACACAAAAACTGCCACCCTAAAAAATGCTGCAGGTGAGGTGGGTCAGTTTGTTTCAAAGTCGCTCATCTGGACGCTGCGTCCCACGTTTGTGTCCTGCGTCAGGCCAGTGGCTTATTTGTATGAGTTTTTCCCACGAATAATGTGTTTAGAAATGAAAATGAGCCATTGTAAGGGCACGAAATTGCACCAATTTGCATAAATGACCAAAGCAGATAATTGAGCACTGACTTGTTTCTTCTAAAGTCTCGTAATCTATGAGAGTCCCGAGGTTGCAGGATGGTCTGTATCTCTTTGTTTTATGAACATCAATTTGAGAAAAATAAACTAAAAATTAGGAAAAGTTCAATGAATGTCACTGTATTTTTAGGGATGAAACACCTAGCTATGAGACATGTGAGCAAACCTCTCTGTACTGAACCTTGGAAAAGAAGGAATTAAACTTTGATTATCTTTTTAGAAATTCATACACCTTTATTATATAGTTATTTACAGGGTAAACAAATGTTTTGCCTATAACATTTAGGCTGCATCTTACACAATTTGTGTTTGAATATGCATAGGACGTACTAATTTGTGTTTATAATAAACAGGCAAGTGAAATGAGCATAAAGTTAATAGAGCAAAATGCCCAAAGTCTCTCGAGGTGTGGCCAAAAAGAACATTGACTTTTCGATTACCATTATTATTAATATTTTAGCAGTTGGTGCAATTAAACCCGAGAAAAATATTTTGAGTGTGAATTCTGTATGTGACAATGAAATAAACAATAAACATAAAATGAAAAAAATGTTTACTCTAACGCCTATGCCTGAGATCTAATGAATATTAAATTAACACAAAAAGTTCTTGCATCTTCGAGTTGGAATAGATAACGTTATTTTAATAGTTGTTACAAACAAAGTTCCTGTTTTCTTTTCTAATTTGTTTTCATTTATGATGACAAACTGTCAGAAACTATTTATGACTAGCTCCTCCCGGGAGATTTTATGTGAATTTACACCCGGCAGTGTTATGGCTTTTTTTTTTCTCTATTTTTTTTTCTCTATTTCCCTGCGTGCGTAAGAACGAGCGCGCGCGTGTGACATCATAGATGGGATCGGCTCGCCTTGGCTGGGGTGGAGAGTCTTGTGTACAGGCTACAGAGGGAGAAGGAGCTGTGAGACACAGAGGGAAGAGTTTTCTCCTGCCACGGACCCCATCGCAGGACCTACTTCCAATCACAGCGAGCCACGCCCAGGGGCCAGGGGAGACTGTTGGCTCCCCACAGACTAAACTCCAGTGATGGACGGGCAAGTGGACAGCAAAGAGGAGTTTTAGGGTATAGGTTGTCAAGATGAAGTTTGGCAAGAGCATCTGTGTGCTCAATGTAGGGGGAACCCGGTACGCCTTCACCCGTGAGGTGATCAGGGATTTCCCTCTCCGGCGCGTCAGCCGCTTGCATGCTTGCGCAACTGAGAAAGAGGTCCTCGAACTGTGCGATGACTACGACCGGGACCGTAATGAGTTTTTTTTCGATCGCCACGCGCAGGCTTTTGTGTTCATCATGTTGTACGTGCGCTCCGGTAAACTCCGATTTGTTCCAGGAGTGTGTGAGCTGTCCTTCTACACAGAAATGCTCTACTGGGGGCTGGAAAGCGCACACTTGGACTCGTGCTGCCAGAAACGCCTGGACGATAGGATGTCCGATATAGGCATGGACACTCTATCGGAGGGAGACATCGTACTATCAGGGGATGATTCTCTCAGCCCGGACGAGCCAGCGCCACGGATTGCGCTGACCGGCCGCGCTAAATGGCTGGAGAGGATGCGCAAAACATTTGAAGAGCCCAACTCTTCTCTGGCTGCGCAGCTATTGGCTTCAGTGTCCGTGATCTTTGTGATCGTATCCATGATAATGCTGTGTGCTAGCACGCTGCCGGATTGGGATACAGCCAAGAAAACTACAGTGGAAGAGCACAGGTAAGCGCTTTGAGTTTAAGGAATAGATGGGCCCACTCCTGGAGGAGCTTTCTTATGTTGATGCGCATTCGCACTGTTGTGCCCAAAAATGAAATGGTGCTCTCCGGTCCTGTGCGTAAAAGTAAGCTCAACAGGGTACATCCTGTGGATGAACTCCTGTCACAACAAGTGCCATTAAATAAATAAGTAAATAAATAAATAAATAAGCTATCTCTTAAACAACTGAAGATTCTCATTTTAGTGCCTGCATGCGTTCAACGTGGCAGTCAAAACACTGCGCACCACAGGTCTACATTCATGAGGACGTGTACAGGATATAAGGTGGACAGGTAGTGAATTTGTCCTTGTCTTTTGGAAATTGTTGTCTCTGAGGCCATTGTCCACGCTAGCAAATTCGAGGAAATCCCTTTAACGTAAGGATGCCCACATGACAGTCAGACAAGCTCCCGAAGAAAGTGAATCAATAATCAATCCATAGTCATGAAGTGTTAATCATCCAGAGAGTCCTCTTTTGCTCTTCCTGCCTTTCCCATCTGTCTCTCAGTCAATAAGAGCATCCATATTGGTTCATTTTCACGTTACACAGTTCACACAAAGGACAAATACACCAATAGCTGCTAAACTCAGGAAATTAGAGAGGCTAATAAGGCACGAGTGGAATGTGTGCGAAAGGCTTATGAATGACTGTCAACAAACAGAATTGAATTAAGCCTGTTGCTTGGACAGCCTTCTGTCTAAATCACACATCGGCCTTATATTCTCACCACCGTGTGTGGAGGCACGATTAAAACCTGCATCTGTGTAGCATTTTTTTTAACAGCCTGTCCTCTCAAGGAAGCCCACAGGAGGCCATTTTCTATATAAGGTCAGGTTATGTTCTCTCAAGCTGGACATTGTTCTGAGATTTGAAACAGCTCCAGTAGTTAGGTAATCAGCTAAAAATTTGGTTTATACTTGGGGCCAAAAGTATTCAGTTTTATGCCAGCAGATGATGCAGGTTCCCCAGATGCCTCATAATTTGGTTTGGCTTAATTGTATTGGAAGTTTTTTGACCGGATTCAGCACTTGTCTTTTAAACACGAAAGAAATCTCTGTCTAGTTTGGCTTGATTGCCTCTGCTCACTCAATCAGTGGGTTATTGTCTGACGGCTCTTGTCAGAATTCTCTTCAAAGGTTTTTAATCTATCTCCCCGTTTAGCTTTCCCACTTACTGCGTGTATGTCCCGCTGTCTTTGTTTACTTCTGTCAGCCCCTAAATTGCATTAGATGTGTTCCTTGTCTCAGTGATTCGGATCGTTCTGCTTTGGACTGTCAACCAATACCTCATGTCTCGTTGTCTCCTCTGGTGTTTCCCATCAACCATTCAAATTGTCTTTCTCCTCATCTCTGTAGGATAGTGGAGGCTGTGTGCATTGGCTGGTTTACAGCGGAGTGCATAGTTCGCTTCCTGGTAGCCAGAGACAAGTGGGACTTCATCCGCCATCCACTCAACATCATTGACGTGATCGCGATTACCCCTTACTATGTCACCATGGCGATGGCCCGTGCAGGGATGCCGGGCGCTGGGCTTGGAGTGGCTGGAGTGATTCTGAGGGTGCTGAGGATGATGCGAGTGTTCTGGCTCATGAAGCTTGCCAGACACTTCCTGGGCCTGCAGACTCTGGGGCTGACACTCAGACGCTGCTACCGGGAGATGGTCATGCTGATGGTGTTTGTCTTCGTTGCCATGGCGATATACAGCGCTCTGGCACAGCTTCTGGAGCACGGCTTGGACTTGGGCACGCAGAACCCGGATTACGCCAGCATCCCGGCCGCCGCCTGGTGGGTCATCATCTCCATGACGACGGTGGGGTACGGGGACGTGTACCCGGTGACAGTTGGGGGGCGGGTGCTCGGAGGAATGTGTGTAGTGAGTGGCATTGTTCTCCTGGCACTGCCCATCACATTTATCTACCATAGTTTTGTCCAGTGCTACCATGAACTCAAAATGCGCTCCGCCAGATACGTGCGCAGCCTGTCCACAGAGATGCTGCAGTGAACAAGCATTACTCTAAAATATCTATGGCCCTGCAGGCACAAACACACACATACACACACACACACACACACACACACACACACACACACACACACACACACACACACACACGCACTCACAAACAGTAAACCTGCAGCTCTCATTCCAAAAAAACTGTGCAAACTGCCTTCTGCCTGATTTTATTTTTCTCCTTATTTCCTGCCTGTTGTACCGATGATCTCCAACCATTGTCTTGAACCAGCATGAGCTGCTACTGTCTTGTTCAGAAGACCATGTTAGCATAATACACAAATGGTTATTAATTGAACACTCACAGGTGCGGTCCGCCCAGTTTTGAGTGTAGCTGATGTTTACACGATATTCCCATGGTTACAACCCCCGACAGTGATGGCTAAATCGACTCTGAGTGTTCATGTGTGTTTGTTTATGTGACTGTCCGCCTTTTACTTTGTCTGAGATTTACACGCAGATGGAGCAAGTTACACAAGATTGATGTGTGACCTAGATCCTCCATGTTGAACCTGTGAAATATAAAGAAGGCGTGAATAAGTGTGAGGAAAGTGAAGATGGAGAGGGGGACTGAGTGTGCTGAGGGGCTTAAGCCAATAATAATGAAATATGAACGCAGGTCAGAAGAGGCTACAAAGAGGCATGCAACCACACAGAGACGGATATGACAGGGCAGATGGAATGAGAAAACTGAAGAAGAGAGACTGTAGAGCTAAAATGACAGAATGTGGACAAAGACCGAACACAAAGCCTGAATAGATGCGTCCGCATTTGTGGGTGAATGTAAGACATTTTGTGTTTCTGCGTCTCCAAGGCAACCTCATCCTCCAACATGCCAATCATAATAGTAGTTGGTATCTGTGCACACAAAAAGATTCCATCCAAAGCACACCTCCTGGCTGGCACACAGATTTTTGGAATTTTTCGTTGTTGAATCATGTTGCAAAGTGAGTTGAAATTACGTAAGGTTAAAAAAAAAAAAAAAAAAGCAAGCGTGTAAGAAAACTGAGCAGCAGAGGCTGTCACAGATGATGATTCTGACATTCGTGATTCACGCACGTTTTCAGTGTTCATACATTGCCAAGATGATGTGATTTGTTGAACAGACACATGATCCAAACAAACAAGTCGACACCTCTCCCACACAACAGTCTTTCTCTACATCTCCTCTCTTCTTCTTTTGGTTACCATCTACTATTCTTTTTTAAACAAACACACACGCTGTCACACACAAAAGAAATAAGACTTGGTCTGCTTGTTACCTGTTTGTCCTTAAATTTATAGTCTATAAATGTGTTTTCAACATAATCTTTGCAGCCCTGTATAAGTTTAGTGTGTGCTGTGGTCACAGTATTCCTGTTGTACTTTGTATGCTTTTCAAGCCGTGAAGTGTCTAGAAATTATACATAATCAATATTTTATTAGCAACAGTACAAAACATGAATCATGTAGCAGTACATTTTTGCCAGTCCTGATTGTGACCATGAATCAAATCGAGGTCATCAGTAATTGTAATTAATGTGATGTGTGTGTGTGAGCTTTTATAATAAAACTTCTTTGTGCAAAATCTTTTTGAGTGTCTAATTGCTTATAATGGCAGAAATAGCTCCATCAGAATGGTCAGATTTAAGTTTCAGGCGACAAACATTTGCAGTTTTAGTGAAAAAAACAAATTCATTATTTTCTAACAGGTGCTTCTTTATTGAAAAAAATCAAGATGCAACAGCATGCTAAAAATAAACCTGTATGTGTTTTTTTTCTTGAAGGCAAGAGAAGATCATTTTCAGTGTTTGAAACACCTGAGCCCTCTGGCAGGGGCATGTAATCAGCCTTCAAAGCTACAACGGGTGAAGCATCGCACAGTCTAACAGTCCAGCTTACAAAGTCCTGCTCTATAAGGATGAATGGAGTCTGAATAAAAAACCTGTGAACTCTGGGCTCAGGTTTTTAAACATGCCACTGTATGGCAGAAAGGTCAGACATTCAGTAAATATAAATCTAGTCCTTGGTGGTAAAAGCAAATAATTATCCTCTGTCAGTTTTACACCTGTTTCCTAGTGACAAAATACAGTCTCTGAAGGATATTTTCCCAATAAATGGTAAAGGTTTTAGTGTAGACTTTAATGGATATAATAATCCCTCTTATTATTCTTGAACTACTGATGGCACACAAGTTTGCTTTGACCTTCAAATCAGTGAAATTTATCAAACGTAGAATGTTTTTTGAAGAATCTGCGGTTTCTTCCTCATAATTGGAAGTTGAGGATGAGGATGATAGAGTTTATGTTGATATTTTACCATGACAGTGCAAAGCTGTTTGTCTTAAGGCTCTGAAGCGTCCTCTCACTGTCCAAAATATACCTGCTGGGTTAATTGGTTTCTCCAAAAATGATAAAGGTGTGGATAAAGGATTCATAAAGCTGTTGAAGATTCTGATATTGACATTTATGTTTAGGTTAGATAATCTCATGCTGTTCTTCAGCAGAGACGGCTTTCTCATCAACTAAGCTCTCCGAAGAGAAAGATATGATGTTTTTCCATTTTCGGGGGTCGGGGGTCGGGGGTCGGGGGGGGTTCCTGTTGATTTGGTATTGACTTTAAAGATCATAGTGTTTTCATATTGGCCTCAGCATGCTGAGTTTCCACCATTTTTTACCCTATCCTTGTGATTCTCGTTAATTTTCACGAGACTGTTTTCTGCTCCCAAGGACTTAAAGCTTCAGGTCAGCTTATTTTGTCTCCACTGTTTGTCAATGGGTCATCTAGCTCTTACTACTTTGAATTTTCTTTGTCTGAACATGTTGAAAACGGTTTTGGTTCCCTAGTGAGCTTAAGTAAAATAAAAAGTTTTAGCCGTGTCACCTTTTGAGAATGATTTTTTTTTGGGGTCTTTGAAGTGTTTTCATGTACCACCACTAAAAAGAATTAGAATTTTTTCAAAACTCTCTAAACTGATCAGGACAAAAATGTTAAATTGAAAGTCAATTGGATTTAGGATGTTGAAGTGAATATATTTTTTTCCAATGCTCTCTGACTGCATAAAAACTTGTACTTGTATTTCCCATTCTTCTTTAACTTCTCAAAAACAGTTGACTGTGATCAGAAATAGCATTTAATCATTCAGATTCGTAGTGTATGTGTTTTTGTATGTGTTACTTGGTGTGTTTCCATTATTATTATTTTGTTCAATTTAGTTCACATTCAGTCTTTTTAAAAATCCTCCCAATATGCTATACCCTTTTGATCAATGGGAAAACATTTTTTAATTCCCCATTCAAATACTTTGGGATGAAAAGATTTGTTGATGAATATTTGAAGCTTCACACACCTTGAGAGGAAGACCTGCATACTTTATTACTTTATTACTAAGACGCATGAATAAGGAAGAAGGAAGACAAAAATCCTTGTTTCAACAGGCAGGGGATGCCAATTTCAGCCAAATAAAAAGTAATAGAAGACAAGAGAACTCGTTAACATGAAAGACTAATGATAGGGAATCATCAGAACTGTAATCAAGACACAGCACAACTAAAATAAGAACGAAAAGCTTGTGCTGCAGTAGGGAAGATCCTAGTATCTACATACTGTAGGAGAAAATTATGAAAATGCAGGTGTGACACTCAGAAATGAAAAACTGTCATGAGACAAGAGCATGGAGTAGAAAAGGCAGAATGCACAAGAGGGAAAGTATTATGAAATAATGCAGGAAGTAAAGAATCAGATGTAGAAGACTAAAGATGACCAAAAGTAAACTAGAATGCAGAGTATAGAAAATAAAACTGACAAAAGCTGAGTAATTTAAAAAACATGGCAAAACAAAATTCAAAGACAATGGCAAACCCTTTTTATTTTTTGTTTCATGTGTTCTTTGTCTCCAGGGTTCACTTCTACTTTTTCTTCTGTCTCCTGTCTGTTTATATTGATTTACTGTTTGAATGTATGGAGCTGTTTACTTTGGGCATCTTATCTTTTCCCCTCTTGTGACCATTAGCTAGTTATCACATGAGACTGGTTACCGTTGGCTCCCTGTGTTTTCATAGGGCAGTTCAGTCCTGCCTTTTGTATTCTTGTTTTCATCCACATCTATTTTTTTCTGTTTTTTTTCTTCTAGTTCCCTTTCCCCTCTTATCTCTTTGCGTTAATAAGTTTTACCTCTGTTTCCGTATGTCATCGCATGGAACATTGCCAAATATGAAAATTTTCATGAACATTTTGACTATATAAATGACATTTCAAAACAAACCATCGGCTCATTTCTGTTGAAAAAATGCAGTTTCAGTCATTTGGAAGATAATTCTTATTTCCAATGGTTTTGGCTTTGTTTTTCTGACTCAAGTGCATCCTGTGGAAGAGAACATTGTGATAAAAATGTTGGTTTCAGGCCTTGAATTGAATTTTTCCCAACTAAAACATTAAAAAGTTAAATAAATAAAATTAAATGTGTAACAAAAATATCTCAATAGCAGTAAGATGAGATAGGAGATTATCTATGATCTATGAAGTCATGCAGTAATTTAACCCTGTTAGGGTAATATGATTAACATAATTTTAAAAATTGGAGCAAAACGTTTGAATTTATCTGGTCTGTGTAAGCAGGGTAACTAATGTTCCTAACATAACATTTAAAAAAGGCATGCTATTACTGAGATATATTTGTAGTAGAAAGCACTGATTTTGTTTTGTGAAATCAATGTGCCCAACGTGTAAAAGTTCAATTCTGATGTTTTTCTAATGTTGCATTTTCCTCTACCATCATTTTGGCATCTTTTTTCAGATTAGTGTTTACACAAGTTTTTCCTGTTTTTTTTTTGTTAAAATGTCATCTGAAATGTTGTCCTGTTTCAAAATAGCTTTTGTGTCTTTAAAAAGATTGATTTTGTTTTCTTTAATCTCATTATGTTTGTCCTGTTCATTTGTAAATTAAATGCAGACTTTCACATTCTCAAAGCTTTTTCTGTGTTTTTCTTTTTTCAGTATCTCAGGATAAGCTTGTTTCTGGACTTTTATTGTTGCACTAATTACAGCATAAAATCAGGGAAACAAATTTGTAAAATAAGTCATAAATAAAATAATAATTAGTCTAAGTATTTACACTAAGTAAGTAGTATTGTAACTTCTTCAGTAGATATGATTTGCTTTAAATCTAGAACTTTAACTGGTGTGTATTTTTTGGCTTTAGCATCTCTTGAATAAAGACAACAAACAAAAGAAAACCGTCACTTATTTTTACCAGTCCTCTTGCTCCACTTTCAAACAGGCAGCTTGTTGGCCAGCTCAGTACTACGTCATATTCCTTTGACGGTCGGAGCACACAGGAAGGTCCTTACCGGTTCGGTTGTTGTGGAAGTAGCACCTTCCCTGTCCTTCAGCAGTAAAATGTACTACAAGTTCAGCGGTTTTACCCAGAAATTGACGGGCTCTGCCCCCGCAGCTGCCCTCAGCCCTCAGGTGAGTTCAGGATTCGGCATGACGGTTAAAAAGCTAGTTGCTATCCCCCGGGTTGACCTTGATATAATAGTATTAGATAACGAACCACTGCTGTCGTCTCTACACCTTAATATTGATCTTAAATAGCTTAAAAGCGTCATTGGAGTTTACTATATTAACACATTTTTGTTTTCTTGATGGTTTTGCTCTGGTGAAATGTCTCTGATTGTTTTTCAGTGTGACGACATGAAACTTAACGTAACCACAGTTACTTTACCCTGAAGATAACCCTGGTTTGGTCAACTAGTCTCCAATACCTTATACATCTATTGTGAAGAAGGTTTAGCTTTTTTAACGACTTCATATAGTCCCGACGAGTCCTTTCTTAGGGCTCCCCTCCCCCCCCTTACCATGTCTTTGATTAAACTTAAAAACTTAAACTTGATTAAACTTAAGACTTTTGTCCACCATTAGGGTTGTAATCATAAAGCCTGTAATAGCAACATTTAAAGTGGCTAGTCTGACTCAGAAAAGTACTTCTTTCAGATCTTAAATGCATTT